AAGGAATAAATAATAATGATGATAACAAGTGCATGATATGATTTATCGGGCAAGGAAGTGAAGGACAGTACATTTTTCAAGAATAAAATACGCCTTTTCCAGAATGTTGTGGTTGGCAAAAACTGTTTTTATGTTGCAGCTATACAGCCCGCAAGAAAGGGACAGAGAAGAGAGAGACGGTGGAGAGCCCAAAAGACGTACGTTACTTGAAAGCTACCACAAAACTGCGAGAAAGTTCATTACCTAGCGTTTAAAATGAAAACAGAAAAAGGAAAAAGAAACTTGTAGGTATGCATTGAGCCATTTAACCATCAGTTTGTGATGTCCCATTGGATTACGTCTTATTAGAACTAATGTTGCCTATACCAAAGTTTGTAATGATGCCAATGGGCCCTCGCACATGACTTATGTCACGGATCCACCCCGGGAAGAATTGCGGGCGCATTGAGACACACAGCTGGATACCTATCCTATCAGGCCCATCACAAAAGCAGCCATGAAAACATAACAACAAGCGCTTATTCTAACCTTACCCTCAAGTGTTTTTGTTACATGATCCACAAAATATTTCGACCGCCAAACGTTATATATGGCCTTCACCAAACGGGATCCCGGGACACCGTTCTCATATTTGGTGGCAATTGATTGCCAGTAAGACCCTTCTTTCAGTCCCTTAAAGGTATCAGAAGTGCCAGGGAGTCCGGTCTCAACTATTAGTTCTGCTAGTCGCTGACAATCCAGATTTTGACGAACTCTGACTTTGTCATGATTGAGGAAATGACACGCAATAAAAGTCGTTGTTATAAAATAATTTGAATTACAAGCAGGATAAAAGATCAAAGCAAACAATAAAAGAAAAAAAGTAAACAACTTACCTTTCTTGTCATTATTCCATTATCTTACGTAACCCCCGACAAGTCCCAGGTTTGATGAAATGCCGTCCGTGTGCGCTTTTAACGAGGTATTTGTACTAATTTATGATTGTCATAATGTTGTCATTGTTCGTTTGAAATTATGACGAAAAAAACAACAACAACAAAACGGTCCAGACCTGGAAATTACTAAGAGAGAAAATCATACTAACTTTGGAATAGAAAACATCGAAGCCTAACAATGTAAATAATGAGAAGCGGGTCTTTAACCACTTGACAATACCATTGCGATGATAGAAAAGGTACATCTGTTGACTTTATTTAACTCTTCACTTCTTTTAAAACCACTAAAGAAAACGCACTTTCAAATTATTCTGTTATTCAAAGAGATGGGTCTAAAGGGCATTGATATGAGGTTGTCATACAGTGAGGTTTACAAACTATTTTTGCAATAATTGAATTGTCACGTGACAATTTATGCAATGCCGGAAATGCTCACACGTGCTTCTAGTCTTAGTAAATACACGTTGTTCGTGTTGCCCTTTCACAGAGTAAACGTGTTGATATGGGTCTAAAAGGCATTGAGATGAGTTAATCCCACAGTGGGGTTTACATTAAAACTGTTTTTGTATGAACTGAAATGTCACGTGACAAGTTATTCCATGCCGGAAATGCTCACACGAGCTTTTAGTCTTGGTTAATATACGTTGTTGGTGTTGCCATTTCACACAGTAAACGTGTTGAGATGGGTCTAAAGGGCATTGAGATGAGTTCATTGTACAGTGAGGTTTACATTAAAACTGTTTTTGCAATAACTGCAATGTCACGTGACAAGTTATTCCATACCGGAAACGCTCGAACGAGCGTCAAGTCATAGTAAATGTACGTTGTTGGTGTTGCCCTTTCACACAGTAAACGTGTTGAGATGGGTCTAAAGGGCATTGAGATGAGTTAATTGTACAGTGAGGTTTACATTAAAACTGTTTTTGCAATAACTGAAATGTCACGTGACAAGTTATTCCATACCGGAAACGCTCGTACGAGCGTCAAGTCATAGTAAATGTACGTTGTTGGTGTTGCCCTTTCACACAGTAAACGTGTTGAGATGGGACTAAAAGGCATTGAGATGAGTTAATCCTACAGTGCGGTTGACATGAAAACTGTTTTTGCATGAACTGAAATGTCACGTGATCAGTTATTCCATGCCGAAAATGCTCACACGAGCTTTTAGTCTAGGTTAATATACGTTGTTGGCGTTGCCATTTCACACAGTAAACGTGTTGAGATGGGTCTCAAGGGCATTGAGATGAGTTAATTGTACAGTGAGGTTTACATTGAAACTGTTTTTGCAAGAATTGAAATGTCAGGTGACAAGTTATTCCATGTCGGAAGTGCTTACACCAGCTTCTAGTCTAATATACGCTGTTCGTGTTTCCGTTTCAAACACTAAACGTGTTGAGATGGGTCTAAAGGGCATTGAGATGAGTTCATTGTACAGTGAGGTTAACATTAAAACTGTTTTTGCAATAACTGAAATGTCACGTGAGAAGTTATTCCATACCGGAAACGCTCGTACGAGCGTCAAGTCATAGTAAATGTACGTTGTTCGTGCTGCCGTTTGACACAGTAAACGTGTTGAGATGGGTCTAAAGAGGATTGAGATGAGTTAATTGTAGAGTGAGGTTAACGTTAAAACTGTTTTTGCAATAACTGAAATGTCACGTGACAAGTTATTCCATGCCGAAAATGCTCACACAAGCTTCTATTCTTAGTAAATGTACGTTGTTCGTGTTGCCTTTTCTCACAGTAAACGTGTTGAGATGCGAGTAAAAGTCATTGAGATCAATATACGGTAAGGTTTACAATGAAATTATTTAACTGATAATTGAAATTGCATGTGAAAAGTTATTCAACACTCGAAACTTTCGTACAAGCTACAAGTGTTATAAATGTTCCATGTTTGTGACGCTTTTTCTCGTACTAAACGTGTTGAGATGGATGTAATGGGCATTGAGATGAGCTAAACATGCGGTGTAAATTATAACAAAATTGTAATAATGACAGGTAATATGCAGCATTAAAAGTTATTCTGTAGCAAACCTTGTATCAAACTAAATAAAAATGAAGATCAAATACTCCTCTATTGCGATGTCACGCAACAAATATTCGTCATTCAGAACAGCTGAACGGGTTTGAAAAACCTTGTTTAAGGCGAATGTAACAGTTCTCTTACTGGTTCTCATATATAATGTGAATATTTCTCGCTTAAATTGAATTGGCAGACAACTTCAACCAGTCGAATTGGCAGCCGGTGAATTGGCAGTGAATTGGCAGACAACTTCAGCCTAGTGATGTGGATGCATGAGCGATCGATCCATGAAGTGGCAAGCCAAAACGGGCGCTTTCCATTCAGCGTAAAATTCGGGAAATTTCGGTAGGAAATCAACGGACCATTTCGGTTCGGTCCGACCGGAATATTTGGGACCACAGTCACGCGATTTTGCTATAACATTTTCGGTGTTAAAGATGACTTTCAACATGTCAAAAAATTAAGTTACTAAAACGCACACTAAAAAGCAGAGGTCCTCTACAGATCACAGACCACAAGTCAAGTGTGTATTATAAGTAAGCTTAACTAAATATAAGCCAAACAGTTTGGCTGCGAACTATAATGAACACAAATGAACATTTGGTCCTAGTAGACGTAGGAAGAAAAGGAAATAAACGTATTATTCATACCTCCGATTGTTTCTTGACTCTGTTGCTGTATTCCTATTGATCACTTTTCTTATAGCGGAACTTCCTCGCACTCCAAAGGGGCGAGCGAGCGAAGCTCCACACCTCACAAAATGAAGAAAACCCATTTCAACGACCCCTCCTTCATAGGCACGTCATGTAAACATAACGAATTCCTAACAACAGGAAGTATCAAAACAAGAAGAACCGGTCAATAAATAGCATCCCACGCAGTAGCCTCACCGAAGACGTTCGTTGGGGTTCGTTTGTCACGCATTCGTTTCTCTGCGTGACAAACGAACCCCAAAGTACGTCGGTGGGGAGGCTACCCATGCAGGCGTTTTTAGGGGAGCTCGTATTTCGTCCCTCCCCACAAAAGGTACGAAACTCTAGAGTATTAGCAAGCGACCAGTACTGGGAAAACAAAGCATACAAGCTAAAGAGGTCTATCGCTGTCATGTTTGGCAGCTAAGTGTCTCATATCACCAATTGTGCATCTCTCATAACAAACCTTGTTTGTCCTCTGAAAAGTTTGCATAAGCGTTGTCTTCAATTTCTCTTGGGGACGATTGTAATACCCAGGAAATACATCATGAAATACATCATATTTTCGACTCTGGTCAAGCCAGAATTTTTTTAAGCTCAATGGATAGAGCTTTGCGTACGGCCACCGCAAAGGTGAGGGTTTGTTTCCCGGCCAAGCCTGAATTATTTCAGGTTCTTTTTTAACCGTCTAAGTTGTTTTTTAGCTGCAAGTATCGTGTTCACTTTCATATGAATAATGATGTAGATTTGGTGGATTCTAGTCTGCTACATAGCCATTTTTAGAGTCGTCACGCAACGCTCCCCCACTGTGGGGAGGAGCGTTGCGTGACGACACTAAAAACGTCGGTGTAGCAGACTAGGTGGGGTATAAGAAAGTCTACCCCAAAAGTTAGAATCACCTTGTACAGCACTGAAAACAGAAGCACAGGAAAGTACATCTCAGTAACTTCCACGGGTTACACTTCAATTAAGATTTCATCCACAGAATGAAATAAACTGGGATATGAACTCTTCTTTCATGCAAATTCTGCGAAAAAATAATATTGATTTGTCAACCAACATGGCTGTCTTTTCACGTGGTTGCAAACCAATATTTTTCATTAGAATTGCTGGTCACACCGAGGTTTTCTCAGGTTTTTTAATTTGCATTGACTTAAAAAAAAACAGTCAAAACCAGAGAACCGTTCAGACCGTTCACAGCAACATCACAAGAAGGGTCACGCCAGCTTTTTGCACTATTTCAAAAACAAAGAATATAACATTATCACTCAAGAAAATTCAAATGGTTGAATTTATTTTAATCGGACAAATAAAACAAGCAATTTAAAAAACTGGGATTCTTTCGCTTTAGTCAGAATCTTCCTCTTTCCTTTCCTTCTTCTTCTTCTTCTTTTTCTTTTTTTCTTCGCTTTTCTGCGTCTGTCAAAAACAAACAAAACAAAAAGTATTTCCTTGTTTCACAATAAATTGATATTTCATTCGAATCCAGTGTTTTTTTCTCATTATTTACTAAGTAAAGTCATTTATAATCAACGAGTTAGAGGAGTGTACGTAAAAAACACCGCGAGTGAATTCAACAACAATTAACAACAAAACATTTTTGCTCTTGAATCGTTTCGTTACTATAACACAGCTTCAGTTGAACCTCCATGTGCGACCACCTAAACAAAACACCAACGGTGTTTCCGGTCAAAGCCAGTTGCAACCTCTCTTCGTGAAAAGATCACCTCCCTTAACCCTTTACGGCCTAAGAGTGATCAAATTTCTCCTTGTAATATCACTGCTTTATAAAACACAGTGGTCATGAGAATTGAGGACATGATTTGCTTGAAATTTTACCAGTTTCTCCCCACTACTTCTATTGAAAACGTATGGGGATAACAAATGAGAATTTGAATTTTGATGTTGAGGTTTAAAGGGTTAAGCGACCGCGACCACTTTTGGGCGTAACTGTTTTTCAACTTTCTATTGTTCAGGGTTCTCAATAGAAGGCGGCACCCGGCGATTGATCGCCGCTTACTTTGGGATTTATAGCCGCTTACTTTGTGTTTAAGTCGCTTTTCTTTGCTTTGTTTTGACACCTCTGGCTTTGCTGAAGAGCCTCCTACTTTATCAGTGACCACCTCCTACTTAAAAATCTATTGAGAACCCTGATTGTTTTTAACTTCCTGTAAGCGACCACTTGACGCATGCTCTGATCATCTCTATTTTCGCTGTATGTACTACGCTTCTGAGATCATACAAAGAACTTTTTGGTGATGGCAACGAAACTGCACGCATCGTAACTAAGAAAAGTAGATGTGTCGAGACCTCTACCCGGCAGAGACCCATTGTGACCAGGTTGCCTTAAGCGACCCCTAAATTAGCTTCGCATTTCGAGTGGCTTTTTACGAAAGATTCGACTGTCGGAAAACCGTCGGAAAGAGATCATTTATAAATAAGGGCGATGTCGCGAAAATGTACCCAAACAGGCCATACAGCAATTCCACTATCACAAAATCACAAAGGTAAACATTTGTGTCTATTTATTCCATTCTATGGCACTGACAACCGCACATTTAAGACAAAGGATTACTGTCACCTTATAATCCGAGAAAGTTTACTGAAACAGTTGTAGCTATGAAAACTGCGATCGCTTTTCCTTCTACGAGAGAGATCTATGGACTGAATAACGTTTCCAATCTCGTACCCAGACCTCTTGTTAACGAAGCCGTCTTCGTCCACAGGAGATTTCGGTAAGAGATTAAAACGTGACATTCCTAGCTTCTTCTGCGTTCACCATTTTTACATAGATCATGATGCACCTTGTTTACCCTCAAAAATCTTGCATAACCATCGTTTCCAATTTCTCCTGAGTATTACAGTCGTCCCAAGAGAAATCGGAAAATTGACCACTCCAGAAAATACCATAACATACTATAACGCTCTTTGTTTGTCACCCCAAAATTTTCCATAAGCATTGTCTTCAATTTCTCTTGGGACTTAAAATGGCCCCAAGAGAAAGTGAAAACAATGCTTATGCAAAATTTTGGGGTGACAAACAAAGAGCGTTATAGTATGTTATGGTATTTTCTGGAGTGGTCAATGGTTATGAAATTTATAATTTAATTTAATTTAATTTAATTTTTTTGCGGCAGGGGGGTGGGGAGGGATAAACAAGGTACATTATGGTCTAGCTGAAAATGGTAACGAAGGGTATATAGAGCTGGAATACTAAACACACTGATGCACCAAAAATTGGGAGAATCGACTAAACAACAGGGCAGGTAGGTGTTCTCACCACAGTTGCTGATGTTTCCATTTCCTCTTCGTCGTGTTCATCAGGCTGTTTTGTGGCTTCCTTTTCTTTCTTCTTCTTCTTCTCTTTTTTGTGTTTCTTAGCAGGAGTTTCCCCATCATCTGCAGTAAGAAACCATTTCCATTTCTTATCCAAACGCGAGAAAGCAAACCCAAAACAAAGCCGAAACTCACGAAATTTCATGAAGAATTTCAGAATTTCCGTGAACAAATTACGGTTGTTTTTCAAGACATTTGTATCTAGGCCTACAAAAATGCAGATGTTTGAGTCCTGCGCATGATAGCCTGAGTAAACAGCTGAGTTTTCGCGACGCCACCACTGGCTTCCCCGCGAAATGACCTCTGAGGTAAATTTCCCACGCAGCACGACCAATCAGAAGCACTAGCTACCCAAATCTCATCAGCATGATTTCTGCGCTGGTTTGTCAGACGTCGGGAAATGTCGACTGTTTTCTCAGGCTACGCATGACTGCGAAACTCGCTTATTGTCATTCCCGTCCTAACAGTTACTGCGATCCTTTTGCCCAGCACCATGGATCAAAAGCTCTGGCTGATCCGAAGCCGGAAGTCTCAAATCATAGACTTCCGCTTTCTTTGCAGTCTCGGACATGTGAAACACCGGTGCGAAAATGTCAAACTACTGCGCTTGCGCGAAATTCTGCTCCCAGCTAAGGCGATCCGTGCCGCTGGCCAAAAGGATTGCGAATCTGGGGACGGAATTGCTTTATTATTGTACACAGACCTTCCTCAGTGGCAGGGGTGACTGGTGTATCCGGAACACTTGGAGCTGGCGTCGAATCTCCATTTTGCTCGCTTCTCTTTCGTTTCTTTCCAGGCGTTTCAATTGTTGAGTCCGCAGCAGGATTGTACGTCTTCACCTCGCTAAGGAAAAGAAACGACAGTGCTACTGGTAAGGAAAACGCATTACGCTTGGCTCTTCTTTTATGTCTTTTCCTTTGGGGGGTGGGGGTGAGGGGAGCTCAAGTCAAGAGCTTTCTTTTTCTGGAGTAATTTCAATAGATAGATATTTCCCCAATTCCTTCGAACAAAGTCGCAAAAGTTCGGGTAACTTTTAACTTTTCGGGCACGACACCAAATATTCAAATCAAAATCTAAAGAAATAGAACGCTGGTCCTAACTATAGTAGCAGTCCAAGTGTTCTGTTAACTGGAAGTTCATCATATTATCTGAACAACTATTGAAACCTCGACCCTGAACGTAAAGAACAACAGCTTTCATGGCCCATAAATTATCGGGACTTACGAGAAACGGGGCACCTGGAAAGTAACCTGAGATCAGGCGTCTTTTTTTTTTTTTGCTTCTTTGGCTCGAGAGGGAAAAAAAATAACGCCTGATACATTTATTTAACAAGCAGTCAACCGCCCCCTAATTTACATAATCTAACGTTTGCTTGACCTGTCATGTTTTTAGCCAATAAGCGTTTACCAAACGGGAATCAAATTTTGGCGCGAATAATGTCTCATTTGAAATCAGTTTTAGGGGAAAAAAAATTTTTAAGTACGTCCGTGTTCAGATGGCGCTTCGTAAAAAAAAAAAAAAAATTAATGTGTTGTTTTTGTGATGAAATACTGCTAGCTGGAGCTGTCGTACCTTTGTGAATAGCTACAAATAATAAAGAATTTACTGGTTAAAGCTCGTTGACTTCGTTCTATACTACGAAAGCAGTGGAAAAAAAATTAGGCTGAAGCACCATATTTCACGAACTGAAAGGTGTTGTGAAAGCGAAGATCGCTCAGAAGAATTCGCAGCGTGATTTCTGAAGGAGGAAATACAGTCAAACCAGGTCAAGATTCCATTCATGAATTGATTATTTGAAAAGTGAACCCGTTTGTCGCTTCTGTAACTTGTAGCCGGTATCAAATTGCATTCAAATGATCGGTGAAGTTTTGACTGCAACTGTTTTGGTATACGATGAGATGGTAAATATTTCAATGGATGAAACTTCTATTTAGGCATTCTTCAAATTCAAGAAAACTGAGCGGGCAGAAATTTCATAACGAACTCGCGTGTGTATTCACTGCTTATCACGCAAGCAAAAATGCAGACTGAAATCAACAACAACTGACGGATGGCGTCATTTTGGCCAATCGGAACAGCGCAAATCATCCGCATTGTTTCCTATCCAATCAGAAAAAAGTCCAGATTCTGGCATTTTTTCATGTGATCCGACAAAGAAATGTATCATGCCCTCTTCCCGTGAGAGACATAAAGGGATAATAGGGAGAGGGCATGATCTCAGGCTACCTGGAAAGAGACGCCGCCCTCTCACCAATTCGCCCCATTTGCGCGCTTGAAATATACTACCCTGGGTTCCAGGGACTTCTTATGCGCGGTTTCAAGTTTCGGTCAATTTTGTAAAGTGACGCGCACGAAAAGCCTTCGGCGCCGCGCGCGAGAATAAAATCTTTGGTACCCAGGTTAGCAATAGAAAGCTTTAGATTCGAGGACGAGAACAACTACGAGTACGAGATTTTCTCAATACTAAGTATTACTCACGCGTGAACCAGCGTCATTAGAGAGATTTGAGAGATTACGATTCACGTTTACCGCAAACGGCAAACGTCAGACTCTTCAGACTCGTCAGACTCTCTTTCTCTTTCTTTTCTTTTCTTTTCTTTTCATTTATTTATTGTCTTTAGTAGTCCTTTTGTTTGTTGTAAACTAGTTTTAGGTATTTTAATGTAAGTAAGTAGCAAACAAGTAAGTAGTAAAGCTGTAACGTAAGTAAATTTTGTAGTCTTGTTGTAAGTAAGTACCGTGTAGCTGTATTGTAAGTGAATGCCAAGTGTGATTATAAAATAAAATAAAAAAATTAAAAAATTAAAAAAAAACGTGTTACTCACGCGTGAACCAGCGTCATTAGAGAGATTTGAGAGATTACAGAGAGATTAAGATTCACGTTTACGGCACACGGCAAACGGCAAACGTCAGTTGAGAATTCCTCAAAATAGAAAATAAGCAGATAAAAACAGTCCAGAACGATTCTTTTGGATAAAACTGGCATAAAACTACTTATTTTTGTGTAGAAGCAATAAACAGTAAACGAAAAATAAGGTGAAAACTTGGTCACGTGGTACAAATTCACGTTTGCCGTTTGGCGTAAACGTGAATCTTAATCTCTCTTACGATTCACGTTTACCGCAAACGGCAAACGTCAGACTCATGTTGAGAATTTCTCACAATAGAAAATAAGCAGATAAAACCAGTCCCTAACGATTCCTATGGTAAAAACTGGCATAAAACTACTTATTTTTGCCTAAAAGCAATAAAGAGTAAACGGAAATTAAGGGGAAAACTTGGTCACGTGGTACAAATTCACGTCTGCCGTTTGGCGTAAACGTGAATCTTAATCTCTCTATTAAGATTCACGTTTACCGCAAACGGCAAACGTCAGACTCATGTTGAGAATTTCTCACAATAGAAAATAAGCAGATCAAAACAGTCCCGAACGATTCCTATGGTTAAAACTGGCATAAAACTACTTATTCCTCTGTAGAAGCAACAAAGAGTAAACGGAAAATAAGGGAAAGACTTGGTCACGTGGTCCCAATTCACGTCTAATTCACGTCTGCCGTTTGGCGTAAACGTGAATCTTAATCTCTACATTTTGGCGGGAAAACGTGATAGCTGTCGTCATTCTACTACAAGTTTTAGCGAGAATGTCGTAGTGGCGGGAACAAGTTATCAAATGTAAGAAGTTTTATCATTTTGCTATCGGGAGAGGGCTTAACCTCCTTCAGTATAAATAACCGTTCTAACTTTTTTGGTGAAAAAAGTAAAATAAAGCTTTTCGAGGTGTCTATTTTTTGAGAACAAGCGCAAAAACTTTAAGTTAAATCTCGTACTCGTACTAGCTCTCGTCCCCAAATCTTAAGCTCTCTAATATGCTCGCTCGCGCGACAGTCTTGGAGGTCTGGTAACAGGTGTCCAGTCCACAAAATGCGGTGGTTTGTGTGAGGTTCTCCTCCTAGGCATCGACCTCGTTCATCGCGTGCGTGCGCGCAAGGGAAGAGGGGTGTGGCTTTAGTTCAGATTCTTAGACGTGGCTACCTTTTGTTCTCGTATTTGTCCACTCTCGCTTTAGCTTTGCCTGTTCCACTGATTCTTCGCAGCTTTAAAACACAAGAACAGAAATTGTTACAACAAGGAACGCTCAACCGGAGTTATCCCCCATCTGTGATCGATGTCCGACGTTGAGCGAAAGAAAGCGCATGGCAGAAAAGGGACTAGACTTCCTTGAGGAGGTGAGTATCAGTATCACCGATCGACTGAAGAAAAATTAACCTACAATCAGGCAATCCCTCTTCCTTTCTTCTTTGGGTAGCGAGGGCGACAAAGGAAGTTCCTCTTTAACCCCTTTGCCCGTCGGCCAACTTTCGCGCTCCCCCGATAAAAAGAACGCCTGGTCGCGGTTAAACAAAAATGGACAATGGGTAAGCATTGTCTACAAACTTTACAAAGAAATCACTGGAGATCTGCTTAAAGTGCAAACCGGGGACGAGCCTTGCCCAAAATACACTGACCAGGACAGTTCCGGCATAGCAACAAGGTGATTTCGAAAACCTGCGTTTTCATGTTAATAAAAACCCATCAAAAGCGATACGACCATACTAGTGCTATCGCATTAATTTCGACCAACCCAAGTAAGCCATTCTGATTGAAAACGAATAGCTGGAGAAACGATTGTATTACCAGTCAATTTTCTCGGACAAATTCCCGCCATTTAAAAGCTTGTAATCAAATCACGGATGAGCACTAGTCCATGACGTCAGAGTTTTTGGCCTTCCACACTTTAAAAGACAGACTAATAAACCTACAAACTCAAGTAGAGATTCAAACCTGATTCTCCTCTAGTGACTTCAACCTCATTTCAAGCTTGGCTCTGTTTTCAATACCCATAGCTGTGTCGGCGTCTTCACCAAGGGCATCTACTCGCGCAGCGAGAGACGTTTTCGCGGCAAGCATTCGAGAGATCTGTGAATTTTTCGCAAATTGAAAATTCAAAGTATATGCAAAGTTAGAACAATTCTCTAGAAAGTTTACTAATCACATGTTGACTGGCAGGCCTGAGACCTCTGTAAATAAAGTTCCAAATACACCACATTGATAAATATCACTACACAAACCAATGGTCTTTTAACATAGTAAGACGCGAAATTTGGTAAACATCCACTGCGAACAGGCTGAAAAACATAGCTCGTAAGTTGAAAATATTTTCGGGAAAAAAGTCTGTTATAATATATGTGAGTTCTAAAAGTTTAAGTACGGATTATCAAAAACATTCACAATTTAAGGTAATATTAAATAACTCGCTGTTAATGACAACCTACGAAGATTATGACATTTATTATTTTACTACTCAAATTGATACATACCTTGCCTTTATGCTTGGGTGCACTTTGTCCAACAAGAGATGCATGGAATATCAAGCCATACTTGGGGGTGTCATGTTTAGTCTTGAGTGCCCTGTTTCAAACGCATTAGATGAGCACATTCTTTAGTTTTCCGTACAGTTGGTTCTATTTTTCTTCTATTTTCTACTGAAAGTAGCCGGAGACCACATTCATAATAGCTGGGGGAAATCCCCTGCTCCCGGCTCTTAATGGCAACTGTATTTTTAATATTGAATCGTAGACTTTTTGCAGGAGCTACTGCGGTGGCTAGTTCAATGCAAAAACAACTTACGTACCGCTCCTCCCTAAACTTTTACAGTACTCGTTTTGCGTTGAAATCAAACACTCTTTTACAAACCTGAATAAGGCCTTTTCTGCTCCCAGTATCTGAACTGTTGATGATGGATGCTTGGCTAAATTCAGCAGAGACCCTGTGAGAAAAAACACAACTCACTTCAGTTGTGTAACAGAGTGGATTTCAAAGTAAAGCAAAATCCACCAAAAAGGCAAAAAATACCACCAGCAATACATGTTTTTTAGGGTTATAGGCAAAATTCTCCGTTAAAAAAACCTACATAATGTCTTGAAACACCTTCACAAAGGTAAATGGAACGCTCCATTTTCTACAACGAAATCGCTATAAATTGGTCCTTATCATCTTCATCGTCACCATCATTTGACCCTATTGGTCTGCATGCTCTGAGAAATGATCTTACTCCAAGCATTCTGGTCCGCAAGGCTGCCCGGTCCGCGCCAGAGGCGCTTACGATTAGCCCGCGGGCGCCCAAAATTTCAAACAAGGAGCCCGAACGGGCGCGTAAAACTTATGATTCTCAGGATAACTTCCTGTGAACGAACGACAAAATTTCCTGCTCATTCCCCACTTTTCAAACGAAAACGGAAAACGTTTGGTTGTCGGCCGTAGGCGAAATAATATTCCCAGCGATAAAAGGTAAACAAAGAAGCGCTTGTCTTGAAATTCGCTTCTGAGACTTCCGCTGAAGTGCAGTTGAAGTTTGAGCATTAAGTTGGAGACGGCACTTTGTCAACTTTTGAACGAATGGTGGTAGTTTGCCATAAATCTGCTCACGCGACGCGTACTCTGACCAGTGCATATTTTGGACATGTCGGAGTAAGTTAGTATCTGTTCTGTCTAAGCCCTGCTGTTGGCTTGAAGTTCATTTTCATTTTTCAGACCCGTAGAACAAGATCGGTTTAATCATATTTTTAGGTCAGGAGATCCTTGCAAATGCCCATTTGATGTGGCAAAGGAAGCACGGGGCTTAGTGTAGCCTGCGAAAACATCCGTTTCTCCTCGCTCTTCGCCGCCGGGGACGTTTCGTTCCTCCGCGCGAAACGTCCCCATCGACGAAGAGCGAGGAGAAACGGATGTTTTCGAAGGCTAGGCTTAGTGACACTCGCGTCCCATTAAAAGACAGGTTGAGGTGACTGTTTCATATTGGTTAAGAGAATCTGTTAACAGATAAAAGCATGTTCCCCTGAGTGGTCAACTAATTAATTCTCATAACTTTTTCTATTGTTCATATTTTCATATTTTTTTGGAGAAAATTTTTGTTGGCCATTCTTAGGACTTAAAGGGTGTTAATGTGTTTGGAAACATAAGAACTTACCTGCATGGGCGATAAGTCGAGCTCCCACAAGTTCACCAACTAAAACTGTCAAGTTTGGAGCAATGGCTGTCATACGATTCTTGAGGTAATCATAAAGCTGTGCTCGATAATCAGTGATTTCAATCACCTAAAAACAGGAAAGATTGAGGCTTTAGCGGACATTTATTCACGTAAAGACATGCCACAGGTTACACATTTTGACTAAACCAACAAAATGGCACTTTATTTGAGTGTCAATTTATTTAGCACGAAAGTACTTGTGGAGATGGGACCGCCATTTTACGTGGTCACCAGAGCCACGCGAAGGACTAGCCGTTTGTAGGGCAAAGGAAGTACCTTCATTTATTCACCAATACATAAATGGCCAAATTTCATGACATAAATTACCTGATCACAAAGGTAGATAATGTTGTTAATGTCTTCATCTGAAATCTAAAACAGACGGAAAGAAAAACGTAAATTGAAAAAAGTTATTCAACCAGGCAGAAGTAGCTGGAGCTATGAAATCTCCATTTTCACTGGCCTGCCCATGTTTTTACGACTAGTAACAATGGGTCATTCATCTACTCTTTTGTTAGCTAATTAAATATATAATTAAATAACTCGTTCTGAGCGCTTTATGGTGCCGTGAGTTGAAATAGGAAAAGAAATATCAGAACAATAATTAATATTATAGAAATCTTATTGTGATCGCTAGTAAATTACTGGTCTCATAACCAAATGATACTATTGAGACGGTTCAAAATGGCAATTAAACATGAAACTAGTCCAAAGATCTTCTTTTTTTTTTTGGTTGAACACTTATTTATTCTATAATCAAAGGATAAATCATTGCCACAGAAATAACATGTTACCTCTGTTCCCATGGAAATTTCTGCAGCAGCTTTCACTTGCTCCTCCACATCCTCAGGAAGAATCTCAGACAAATCTGTTTGTTCAGCGTTTGATCGGGTACCTAGACAGAAGAAAACCAAGCACAGCTGGTAATCACAAATCCTGCTGGATGATAAATTATTCTGTTCTTTTCCAAAATGGAAATGACACTTGCAACTGCTGACAGCCTGGCCCAATCACCGACAGCGAAATCCACTAGCAACAAGCCATCGGACACAACTTTCTTTACATGATGACGACTTGCAACATTGCTTTGTTTCTTTAGACAAGAAACTCTGTCTCATTTTTTTTTTAAATGGGGTAAATGATACTGCTGGGCTGGGGGAAAACCTGTGATTGACAAGCATCTCATCTAGCTAGGAGGCTGAGAAGTAGGAATAATCCTGAGTGCTTATTACAAGCTACAAGAAGAATGAAGCCCACATCAGGCACAAGACTCAACCCCGTCATGGCTCATGTCTGGCTGCAACTTAATTCATACAACATGTGGCAAAATGTTCTGGCTCATGAATTAATGTTGCCAAACTACTATTCCCAGATCTTATAAAACAGAAAAAAGAAACAATTTATACATTTGAGCTTTTCTGACCTTTTTACTTACCCATTGCCTTAACAGTCTTGGCATATGCCAAATTATCAGTCACTATCTTGCCCATCTCTGGGAAATGCCAGCCATACCACTCACGACAACGCATGATGTAGTTATTAAGCTCTTTGTCCAGGTCATCAAGAAGAGAAATGGCCTGCACAATCATGGTGTCAACCTTATCTGGGCTGAACTTGAGTTTGTAGCGCGACAAGCTAAAACGAACAACATTTAATTAACCAATTACAGTGATTTCGTTACCTCTGTGTCCTGCGTCCCTGACGCAAAAAATATCTCCAAAGACACACAAAAGTTCATGGCATGCGTCCCGTAGGATGCAAAGATCGATTGATCAATTGATCTGAAGATGTTTTTGCAGATTACCCTGCTTGTGTGATTTCTGTGGTTGTTGTTTAACGATGCATATTTCTTTTAGTCTTTGTTGTGCTTTACAAAAGAATTATCTTTTATCTGTCTGGTCACATAAAGGCCCAAGCATTTTCAATTTAGGCCTTGTTGTGTTTTGAACTGGAACTCAATGGTTCTGGGGTGGAACTCACGGTTTGTTCACAAGATGAGTCCCAAGACTCACCATAACAATTTGTAACAAAATCACTGCAACTATAGACCAGTCAAGGATATTAAATATTGGAATCATCTCTTTAAATCAGTCATTAAGAGTGTTAATAATCTTGTGGTGAAAACATGATTGGGGAAGAAGGATATATAATCACAGACCCTTTATATAAATGGCATCCAAACCCTTTCATTTCTGGACCAAGTTATAGAGAGATTCTTCGTCAATCTAACCTTTAAATCTGTGTGTGAAATCCTATGGTATTACCATTCAAATGACCCCTTTTGGCAGAAATTTTCCAAAGTACTTTTTGCGAATGTTTTTTTTGGTCTCTTTAACCCTTTAAGCCCCAACAGTGACCAGCATCTAATTTCTCCCAACAATAACACTGCCTGATCAAACCAGGACAGGTCAGATGAGAATTAATGAAATGATCACCAAATTAAAGATGAATTAATGTGATGTTAGAACAAATTCTCTCCAGCACTACCATAAAGAATGTATGAAGAACAGTGTGGAGAAGATGTATGTTGAATCTGTTGGGGCTTAAAGGGTTGAGAAGTGAAGAAAAAGTTGACAATAATAATTATACAGTCAACTCTCTCTTAGATGGATACCTTTGGGGCTACAATTAGTTGCAAAAATGTTGAGACACTCCCTGAAAACCAACCTTTCTTGCTTCAAATCGCTCCTGGGCACAGGTCTGTGAGATATAATACTGACCTCCCTCCTCCCTCCCATTCAAAGTTGTTGCTCCAAGATTTGAGCATGATCTTGTATTGCTAGCAACTTTGATAAGGGGTGGAGGGGGGATCACAAGCACAAGATCGATCATGGACAGGTCATTTATGCCAAAATATGGTACAGTGTCTCAAGTGCTTTTGCAACTGGTTGTAGCACGAAGTGTCCGTCTAACAGTTATGTCCGTCTTCTAGAGTCAAATAAAGGGAGTAAAGAAAGGCAGGGACCAACTCTAGCAGTCGGTTTTTTTTTAGGTGTATGAGGAGGCGACCTGTCCATTGAGAGAGAGTCAACTGTAAAACTCAAAGGATTTTTTCTTATACGTGAATTTTAGGCTTTAGGATGTAAAATAAACAGTTTTCAAAATAATACCAGTAGCTTCCTTACATAACATTTCAAGAATTGGCGTTATTCTCTGTGTATGATTTGGGTGCATACCTGTGTGCCAGGCCTAATGCCATTGCACTCATTTCCTTATCAGGGAGACCTACAAATACAAAAGAATGAAAGAGAAATATGTAACCAGTTTTATCTCTGTCACAGGTAATCAGAAAATTAAAAACCAATTAAAACAGAATAAATAATACTAATGGTTGGTTCATCGGAATTTTGGGGTCAATTTTTACATGCATGTACTTTTTGCCATCTTCTCTAGCCTCTTTGACTGAAATGTGCTCATTCTGGCATTTTTTGAAAGATCTATCCCCCCTGCACAAGTACAGGTAAGATGACAAAGGTGTCCTTGACCATTAAAGGTGATGACATCACAAATGGTACAGTGATCATGGATCCAAACTGCCAGCTATTGATGGTTCAGGAGCAAATGGGTTAACTCATTTGAAGGACGAAGACTAATACATAGTTGGTATTTTCCTTGATTACCTGTGATAAGACTGTTCAGCTGGAGTCTGATACCTCGCATGAGTTCCTGTACCGCTGAACTTGATACACAGTTCAAGCTGAGCTTCTCCTGATAAATCAAGAAAACATATAAGGGTTACATTGACGTATACATACTGTTTGGGCAGTGTTAATGTTCATCATAGAAACTTTTAAAAACACTTGTAGCTGACCTAAAAGGAATTAAAATTATTGGTTTTTTGGTAGCCCAGATTTTGTTGCGATTAGTTTAGGTCCCTGAGGGATGTAACAAAGGGCATGCCGGGGGGGGATGTGCCGCTGCGACCCTGCTGGAACCCTTAACCTATACCAGAGCTAGGTCAGCTGAATTTTGCTACCCTATACTAAAGTAAACTCCCCAGATCCCCCCTATCCTAAAGTGGCTGTTTTCCAGAAACTATTAAAGTCACTAGCACAGTCTAGCCAAAACAAAACCTTGTACCACAATCCCTAGTCTAGATAAAATCTTCAACTAACTGATCAGTTTCCTAAAAAATGATACCCTATTCTAGACCCAAACGCTCTGATTTATTTACCCTATCCTAGAGTAAACTGCTTGAAAACCATACCCCTCACAGCTGCACATACCTATATAGCCCATATAAGGCAGTACCCCTCCCGGGAGGGCATGTTCCCTCTCTAAAATAGCTAAGGGAAAGGCCAGTACTCATTCATAGTTTTGAGTAGTTTTTGGTGTTGCAGACAGCTGCCATCACTAAATAACACAATACAAACAACTGAAACGACACTGAACAATATACCCACACCACAACACAAAGGCGAACCAAGAACACTTTCCACGACACCAACAAACACCCCAGCATTGGTGGTTATAGCAGACTAACATATTGTGTTATTTTGTAAAATTAGTTTTGCACTTTCATCTATGTTGATTGACTCACCTTGATCACACCCCCCAATTTTGCATCAGCGACAGCCAATTCTTGGTGAATATCCTTAGCGACAATTTTCTTCAACACCTTCTTCAGGCTTTTACTCATTTTTCCTTCCACTGTAGCTGTGGCAGCTGAGGGTAAGGTGAGAGTAATACAGACATCATTGTATTGTATTGTACTGTATTGTATTTATTTGCCACACGATTACAATAATTACAAAGAAATGCCAAAAAAAAAGGTAGGAAGAAATGGCGAGGAGGCCTAAAGGAAACTAGAGCTTATGTTAATTAGGCCTCCTCAATTACAATTTTTCAAAGATGGCATAAAAATTGCGGCGACGGATACAAAATAATATCAGGTGGAAAATTAAACTAATCAGTATTATGGAAGTTTACAAATAATGTTGAATATAAAAAGGCTTTTTTGCAAGATTTCTGTTGGAGTATACTAATAATTATTACAAATATATGCATTCAAAGAGAAAGGTTTTGAACTCATTTCTCTGGAACCCAAAATAGTACTATTTGGGACAGTAGAAGTGATTGTTTATGTTATTTTTTTACATGGTGTGGAGAATAATAAATTTTACCAACTGAGCATCATATGCATGTTCAAGACAACAGCTGCCTCAATGTTACAGACTCTGACTTATTTCCTGATTTGACTGAATGCGTGAAAGGACCTTTTATTAACAGCCAGGACTCCTGGGTTGAAACCTTCACAACCCTTTCACAATCAGTACTTAGTATACACATGGCAGTATTTTAAGATTGCAGGGCTTCAGAGGTTATGCAGTGGTGCAATTCCACACAATATTATAATCATCCTAAGTCACATTCAAGAGCATAATCCTAGATGACTCATCTGATGAGCTCATCAGATAAGCAATCTCATGCCGTTGGACAGGATTACTTGAGAAAACGCAGTTGAATAATTGAACTCTCCACAATAGAGGTGTCTATGGTTATCCACATGAGCAGGCGTCAAAAGGGGTATGGGGTTGGGAGGGAGGGAAAAAATGAGGGAGATTAGAGAGAGAGCAAAAGAAACCTCTGTTCCTTTTCCCCTTTTCTCCCCCCCTCCCCCTCCCCTTATTTGTGCCTGCCATGTAGGCTATTGACAAAGTCAGGTGCAATGGAAACATAGATGTATAAGTTGTGCTTTTCCTTGCATGCGGCTTATGCTTATGTCAGCCCAGTTTGCGCGTACATCGCGATGACACAAGGAGAAGCACATTCCATTTTTTTTGTGCTTGCGCTTATACTTGTGTTATTCGACTATCCCAGCCATATGCAGTTATGGAAACTAAGAGAGAGAAGAATACAACATGCACATGACCTATGACTCGAGCTGTCAATGTTTAACTTGAGTTCATGGTGAAACCTACCTGCCAAGGCTTCAGTCGTATCATTGAATTTCTCAAAGTGTTTCAGTTTCACTCTGCAAATAAAAATTAAATGAAGAATAGAAGAGATTAGCTTAAAATAGTTTTAAAACAGGTGAACGTAATAGATTACAATTAAAACTACGTATTTATAAACCTGATTGATTCTACATGTAACTTACATGGCTATTTTACGACTTAGCTGTCCGAAAGATGCACCAAATAAACTTACACTTTACTGGCAGCGTCTGGTGTCTCAAAATCCTTATACAAATTATCAATTTTCTGTAACTTCTTCTCATCTAGAAGCTAAGAAATATGAAATATGAAGACTTCGATTCAGATCAGACATTTTACAAGGCAATCGACGTAATACGAGAAAACAGCATTATCATGCCAAGTAAAAATAGTGTTTACTCACCTTAAAGATTGCATAGCCTGCAGGCGTTTCAAACAGCACCAACATGATGAATGAAATGAACTATTTCGAGTATAAAATCAAAACAAACTGCATGCATTTACGAAACGATCCTGCACGTGGGGAAAGACTTCCAGAACGCAGCCTCGTTACAATGGAAGCCTCGTTATCACCTTGCAACTGTTGTCTTATATCACGTGATCGTAGTTAGTCTTCTGGTGGATCGTGGCGTTCTGTTGACTAAACTCGCTGGCATGGGCATCACCAAGAGCTCTTGGAAATGTAGACCACAAAACAGTCGGTTTTTTCTCTCAAAATCAGTAAAGAAATCGGTAAAGCGTGGCGTAAGAGTCTTACGCGTGCGAAGCGCTCTAGCCTCACACAGCCTCGTTCCAGACCTTTTGTTTGACTGTCGCGCGTACTTCAATAGGCAAAAATACCGACTGTTTTGCAGTCTATTGGAAATGGACACAGCGCTACCTATCAGGCAGAACACAGCAGGTTAAGCTCCCTGGAGTCCTCTCCAGACATGGTGAGGTGATTGCTGGTGTACCCCAGGGCGGTGTCGTTTCTCAGCTACGCATGTCAACGATATTGAGGACTGCATCTCCAGGGGAATACCTGTATCCACTTGGAAGTACCCCCATGTATGGGAGTACCCCCCCCCCCCCGGGGAAGTACCCTGATGACTGCACCCTACACGAACTTATCTTTAAGGACTCTGTCAGTCAAATGCAGGATGCTGTGACTCACTTGGAAAGATGAAAAAATGGAGCTGAATGCTCAAAAGATGAAAGACTCGATGTGGATCACCTTCAAGAAGTCCTGTCCAATTCCTGCTCCTATTAATATCGGGCCTACTGAACTGGAGAGGGTCTCAGGGTTTAAACTACTGGGTGTATATGTACAGAGCGATCTCAAGTGGAATACATATGTCTCAAGTATTGTCAGCAAAGCGGGTAAACGGATCCATTATCTTAGGGTCTCTAGAACAGCCCATCTCTCCAGGGACATTGGTCTTACAGATTAGACTACAGGTAGCCCAAGCTCGAGATGTGAGCATCGGCGAACATCGGGCATTGTTGCGTAACATTCAAAATATAAGGATTTGTATGGGAAAAAACCTATCGTTTCTGTAACCTACGAAAATGCAAGCTTGGTAAACCTTTATATAGACAGAAAACCGTTTACATAAAAACCCATAAAACGGCCATAAATCGACCCGTGGACCACACAGGAGAGACGTAACACACATTTTAGGCAAGGTATAAGCTGTTTTTTATTGAAATCCTTTCATTTTCGTAGGTTAGAGAAACGATAGGTTTTTTCCCATACAAATCCTTATATTTTGAATGTTACGCAACAATGCCGATGCTCACCGATGCTCATATTTCGAGCTTGGGCTACCTGTGATTAGACCTGTTTTAGAATATGCCTCGCCTGTGTGGGGAGGGCTGCCCATTTACCTCGAAGAAGATCTACAGAGAGAGCAGAATAGATGTCTAAATGTCATAGGTCTCCGCCCCTAGGGATACCGTTGAGTCACTTGTAACTAGGCGTCAGAATTTGACGAGGAAAGAATTTAAACGTATCCTAGAATCAGAAGCACACCCTTGCAAACGTTTTTTAGACAAGCGAGTGGATCATGGCCATAATCTAAGATCTTGTAAGACTAACCCAGCGCACCTCAGAATACCTGTATCACGCACTGTTAGGCACAAACAATGGTTTATTCCTAAAGGTGCTAAACTTAACTTAATTTGATATGTACAGCTGTATGTATATATAATTATGTATAATGTGTTTTGAATTTTAATTGTAATATTACCGTAATTCTTATCGCTAAAGGTAATGAATAAAGGTTAAACATCCCTACTGAGTCGGAGCAGGTGAAATTTACTTCCATAATGCTTTTGTTATTTTCTAAGATTTTTGTCAGTATTTTGATCTCCATGTCCTTTTTCGCTAATACTTCGGGTAAAGATACCGTCATTTTAGTTTCTTTTGACGGTTTTCGATGGGATTATCTCGACATGAATCGGACCAATACAGAAAACTTCGATTCCATCATTCAGGAAGGCGTTCGAGCTGAGTATGTTCAAAATGTTTTCCCAACCGTTACGTTTCCGAATCACTACACCATTATGACCGGACAGTATGCTGAGAGCCATGGAATAATATCCAATAGCATGTACGATCCCGTTCTTAATGAGAACTTCAGCATGGACACGAACGACTCGAAATGGTGGAATACATTCAGTGAACCGTTGTGGATCACCAACCAAAACCAGGGTCATAAAAGCGGGATGTGTTACTGGCCGGGCTATGATGTGGAGTACAAAGGGCAGAACGCATCGTACACTACAAGTGGATATGGTTTTAATAAACCTTTTTTGACCAAAGACGGTATAATGCCTTGGAAGGAACGAGTTGATGTCATTATAAAATGGCTGAAAGAACCAGATCCTCCATCATTTGTCACCCTATATTTCAATTCACCAGATGATGCTGGCCACTGCTGTGGGCCGTACTCAGTAAACGTTACAGAAGAAATCAGGAAAGACGACAAGATCACGGGATACTTATTGGAGCAATTGCGTAAAGAAAAATTATTGGATGAAGTTAATCTAATTATCACCGCCGATCATGGAACTGGAGCCTACAACACAAGCACAATCATCGACTGTACTGATTATTTAACTCCTGATTTAAAGTTTTGGGCTGGAGGAGGAACTTTTTTTTTCTTACACGCTGATAACGTAACTCGTGCTTACAACAAGTTAAAAGAACGTCAAAAGTTGCAACCCCATTTCTCAGTTTTTTATAAGGAGGAAGTACCAGATGACCTTCACATAAAACATAGTAATCGTGTTCCTGAAATTGTAGTTATCATGGACGAATACTGGATTGCAGAGATTTCAAAAGCTCATAACACAACAGCTTCTGAGCCTGTTGTCACTAAAGGAGCTCATGGTTGGGTTCCATCCATACCATCAATGCGTCCGTTCTTTATTGCACGTGGCCCAGCATTCAAGGTTGGTCAGAAATTTGGTCACATAAACATGGTTGATATCTACCCATTGATATGTCATTTACTTGGAATAAAACCAGCTCCAAATAATGGATCCTTAGATCGCATTGCTCACCTACTGAAATCTACGCCTCGCCCTCTGCCTCGCACTGAATCAAGTTCACTGAATACTGGAGAGATTATAGCATAAGTTATCGGGACCGCAATTGGCTTAACAGTTAGTATGTATACCGTTATCATGGTTGTGAAGGATCGGAGACTTATAGCCCAAGAGTTAAGACTGGTTCTCTGTTCTCAATCACTGGCCTGCAAGATAGCTGCAGACGCTACCTGGAATACTGTTCCAAGATAAAGTGTATGAAAACATATGTCTCCAGCAACAATAACTATCAATGTGCAACCTCTGTGCAAGTGGCATGCCTGTAAAGTTGAAATTTTCTAAACAGAGCAGGCACACTGGCAGGGGCACCCAACGAACATTTTTCTGAAAATGAGCCGTTAACTATAGAAAACGAAAATTTAGATGCTTTTAAGGCATTTTCAAGCACTTTTCTGTGTTGCTGGAAAGAATTTATCTGTTCCTCACTCCCAGCAGGTTAGATGGCTATTCTCCCAGCCAGCCAAGCGGCCTTCTCCATGTTTACCAACCAGCAGAAAAAAAATCTGTATTCAAATAAGCGCCGCAGGGTTGCTTGGAAATTGCGGCGCTGATTCGAGTATATACGGTCAAAATAAATAACACACAGCCTTATCTCTCGCTTGTCAACCAAGAATAACAACAACTACAATGGTAATGAAAAAGGAACGTCACTAAGCCTTCCCTAGATGTACCTTTTGTGAATCCTATTCAGTCCAACTATAATACAGTCCAATATAATACATCAGGCTGTTTAATTGAGTCCTTACCTTTTGCATAAACATGAATCTCATGAATCTTCCTAACCGCCAGTGAACCGTTGTCAGTTATCCAGTGGCGGAGCGTAGCCTGATTTCGAATTTCTAACAACGGTGCCCACATGCAGATTTTTTGATCAGCGGTAAATAAATAATTAGCGGGCGACTCAGCGCGCACAATTCGCGCACATAGAGGAGCCTCCTGAGAGGAGCCGATTACTCCTGATACCCAGCTGGATATACACCCAAGAAAAATTTCTAACAAATTAGAGGGATAAAATATCTCCAGCAAGAATTTTTGATACATTTGAGAAATTCTTGACCGCAGATTTAAGACTTTACTTCCCAGAAGAACAGCCGAAACCTCAGTTCCCAGCCAGCAAAATTTACTCTGTAGAACAGATATTGTGAGGAACAGATCCGTTGGGTGCCCCTGCACTGGCGGTAGACTTAGATGGCCTTGGTTGCCGACCATCATCAGCCACTTCTGATTGCCAATTACCGGTCGAATGGAATAAATGTCATCCCAGGCAGTAACAGCGGTTTTGTTACAGGTAGATTAGCACAACATGAGAACCAGGAATCAGTCAAGACAAAAATGTGACATAGAGAAGGAAGGATCCATTAATTTATTTAGTTCACTGTCATGGTATCAATAATATTATGTTAAGACAGTAAGAAATAACTTATGGAGATAAATTATTGTTATAAATTAAACTTAAGAATCATAACTTATTATGACAAAAAATAACTTATTGGTGCCTAGTAAAAGGCGACTGCCTTTAGTATGGGAGCCGCTTTATAACCAGGTATAGGTGAAGTACATGTAGTTAAGGGAAATATTCTGATCATTTCATAGAGGTTCACGCTTAAATCGAAAGGCCACTAACAACCTACAGAAAGGAATAAAAAATATGTTACATTATGCCATTCTGTGGCGCTGGCAACTGACAAAATTGTGACCCGTTTTCAAGGATTCACAGCTGCCCACATGACATTGTGGTCTTATTGTGTAGGCTTGAGGTTTTAAAAATCCAACAGTGTTACCTAAAATTGCTGTATGAACCCTTTACGAGTTCACCCACTATCACAAAGTCTTTAAGGTTACAGTGAACCAGTCAAGAAGGAATTAGTTTTTGAAACGATTCAATGAACTCACAGTTTGTCTTCTGTCAAGTCCAAAACACTTGGCTGTGACATTAGTTTTTTAAATAAAAAAAACGAGCGAGCAAATTGCGCGCTCAAAGAAAATGCCCGCACTGCATTTACAAAACGATCATGCACGTGGAAAGACTTCCAGAACGCAGCCTCGTTACAATGCAAGCCTCGTTATCACCTTGCAACTGTTGTCTTATATCACATGATCGTAGTTAGTCTTCTGGTGGATCGTGGCGTTCTGTTGACCAAACTCGCTGGCACGGGCATCACCAAGAGCTCTTGGAAATGTAGACCACAAAACAGTCGGTTTTTTCTCTCAAAATCAGTAAAGAAATCGGTAAAGCGCGGCGTAAGAGTCTTACGCGCGCGAAGCGCTCTAGCCTCGCACAGCCTCGTTCCAGACCTTTTGTTTGACTGCTCGCGCGTAGTTCAGTAGGCAAAAATACCGACTGTTTTGCAGTCTATTGGAAATGGACACAGAGCTACCTATCAGGCAGAACACAGCAGGTTAAGCTCCCGGGAGTCTTCTCCAGACATGGTGAGGTGATTGCTGGCGTACCCCAGGGAGGTGTCGTTTCTCAGCTACGCATGTCAACGATATTGAGGACTGCATCTCCAGGGAAATACCTGTATCCACTTCCAAGTACCCCGATGATTGCACCCTACACCAACTTGTCTTTAAGGACTCTGTCAGTCAAATGCAGGATTCTGTGACTCACTTGGAAAGATGGGCTGTGCAGAATAAAATGGAGCTGAATGCTAAAAAGATGAAAGACTCGATGTGGATCACCTTCAAGAAGTCCTGTCCAATTCCTGCTCCTATTAATATCGGGCCTACTGAACTGGAGAGGGTCTCAGAGTTTAAACTACTGGGTGTATATGTACAGAGCGATCTCAAGTGGAATACATGTCTCAAGTATTGTCAGCAAAGCGGGTAAACGGATCCATTATCTTAGGGTCTCTAGAACAGCCCATCTCTCCAGGGACATTGGTCTTACAGATTAGACTACAGGTAGCCCAAGCTCGAGATGTGAGCATCGGCGAACATCGGGCATTGTTGCGTAACATTCAAAATATAAGGATTTGTATGGGAAAAAACCTATCGTTTCTCTAACCTACGAAAATGAAAGGATTTCAATAAAAATCAGCTTATACCTTACTTAAAATGTGTGTTACGTCTCTCCTGTGTGGTCCACGGGCCGATTTATGGCCGTTTTATGGGTTTTTATGTAAACGGTTTTCTGTCTATATAAAGGTTTACCAAGCTTGCATTTTCGTAAGTTACAGAAACGATAGGTTTTTTCCCATACAAATCCTTATATTTTGAATGTTACTCAACAATGCCGATGCTCACCGATGCTCATATTTCGAGCTTGGGCTACCTGTGATTAGACCTGTTTTAGAATATGCCTCGCCTGTGTGAGGAGGGCTGCCCATTTACCTCGAAGAAGATCTACAGAGAGAGCAGAATAGATGTCTAAATGTCACAGGTGTCCGACCCCTAGGGATACTGTTAAGTCACTTGTAACTAGGCGTCAGAATTTGACGAGGAAAGAATTTAAACGTATCCTAGAATCAGAAGCACATCCTTGCAAACGTTTTTTAGACAAGCCAGTGGATCATGGCCATAATCTAAGATCTTGTAAGACTAACACCGCACCTCAGAATACCTGTATTACGCACTGTTAGGCTCAAACAATGGTTTATTCCTAAAAGTGCTAAACTTAACTTTATTTGATATGTACAGCTGTATGTATATATAATTATGTATAATGTGTTTTGAATTTTAATTGTAATATTACCGTAATTCTTATCGCTAAAGGTAATGAATAAAGGTTAAACATCCATACTGAGTCGGAGCAGGTGAAATTTACTTCCATAATGCTTTTGTTATTTTCTAAGATTTTTGTCAGTATTTTGATCTCCATGTCCTTTTTCGTTAATACTTCGGGTAAAGATACCGTCATTTTAGTTTCTTTTGACGGTTTTCGATGGGATTATCTCGACATGAATCGGACCAATACAGAAAACTTCGATTCCATCATTCAGGAAGGCGTTCGAGCTGAGTATGTTCAAAATGTTTTCCCAACCGTTACGTTTCCGAATCACTACACCATTTTGACAGGACAGTATGCTGAGAGCCATGGAATAATATCCAATAGCATGTACGATCCCGTTCTTAATGAGAACTTCAGCATGGACACGAACGACTCGAAATGGTGGAATACGTTCAGTGAACCGTTGTGGATCACCAACCAAAACCAGGGTCATAAAAGCGGGATGTGTTACTGGCCGGGCTATGATGTGGAATACAAAGGGCAAAACGCATCGTACACTACAAGTGGATATGGTTTTAATAAACCTTTTTTGACTGAAGAGGGTATAATGCCTTGGAAGGAACGAGTTGATGTCATTATAAAATGGTTGAAAGAACCAGATCCTCCATCATTTGTCACCCTATATTTCAATTCACCAGATGATGCTGGCCATTGCTGTGGGCCGTACTCAGTAAACGTTACAGAAGAAATCAGGAAAGACGACAAGATCACGGGATACTTATTGGAGCAATTGCGTAAAGAAAAATTATTGGATGAAGTTAATCTAATTATCACCGCCGATCATGGAACTGGAGCCTACAACACAAGCACAATCATCAATTGTACTGATTATTTAACTCCTGATTTAAAGTTTTGGGCTGGAGGAGGAACTTATTCTTTTTTACACGCTGATAATGTAACTCGTGCTTACAACAAGTTAAAAGAACTTCAAAAGTTGCAACCCCATTTCTCAGTTTTTTATAAGGAGGAAGTACCGGATGACCTTCACATAAAACATAGTAATCGTGTTCCTGAAATTGTAGTTATCATGGACGAACACTGGATTGCAGAGATTTCAAAAGCTCATAACACAACAGTTTCTGAGCCTGTTGTCACTAAAGCAGCTCATGGTTGGGTTCCATCCATACCATCAATGCGTCCGTTCTTTATTGCACGTGGCCCAGCATTCAAGGCTGGTCACAAATTTGGTCACATAAACATGGTTGATATCTACCCATTGATATGTCATTTACTTGGAATAAAACCAGCGCCAAATAATGGATCCCTAGATCGCATTGCTCACCTACTGAAATCTACGCCTCGCACTCTGCTTCGCACCGAATCAAGTTCACTGAATACTGGAGAGATTATAGCATAAGTTATCGGGACCACAATTGGCTTAACAGTTAGTATGTATACCGTTATCATGGTTGTGAAGGATCGGAGACTTATAGCCCAAGAGTTAAGACTGGTTCTCTGTTCTCAATCACTGGCCTGCAAGATAGCTGCAGACGCTACCTGGAATACTGTTCCAAGATAAAGTCAGGGGCACCCAACGAGGATATAGTTCAAAGCCACTTAACATAGCTTTGTTGAACGTATTTTAGTATTTAAACGGTAGATATAGGCATATTTTTATCCCCTAAAAATTTTTCATCTGTTCGGATTTCGTAGGTGAAAGTCTAGTGATCCGAAAATTATAGGGATAAAAACTTACCTTCTCGAAAATTTCAGCCAGGAAAAGGCTCCCGAAAATTCTAGGTGGCCTTTTTTAGGGTCAAAATCCGTTAAAAATGGGTAATTATACCATTTTGTAGATGTTCGAAAATCCTAGGAGAGGCAGGCAAGCAACAAATTTTACAAAATATGTTCCGAAAATTCTAGATCTCAAATCGTCTTCCGAACAGATATTTTCCGAAACTTGTCGTTGGGTGCCCCTGTAAAGTGTATGAAAACATATGTCTCCAGCAACAGTAACTATCAATGTACAATCTCTGTGCAAGTGGCATGCCTGTAAAGTTGAAATTTTCTAAACAGAGCAGGCACACTGGCGGTAGACTTAGATGGCCTTGGTTGCCGACCATCATCAGCCACTTCTGATTGCCAATTACCGGTCGAATGGAATAAATGGCATCCCAGGCAGTAACAGCGGTTTTGTCACAGGTAGATTAGCACAACATGAGAACCAGGAATCAGTCAAGACAAAAATGTGACATAGAGAAGGAAGGATCCATTAATTTATTTAGTTCACTGTCATGGTATCAATAATATTATGTTAAGACAGTAAGAAATAACTTATGGAGATAAATTATTATAATTATAAATTAAACTTAAGAATCATAACTTATTATGACAAAAAATAACTTATTGGTGCCTAGTAACAGGCGACTGCCTTTAGTATGGGAGCCGCTTTATAACCAGGTATAGGTGAAGTACATGTAGTTAAGGGAAATATTCTGATCATTTCATAGAGGTTCACGCTTAAATCGAAAGGCCACTAACAACCTACAGAAAGGAATAAAAAATATGTTACATTATGCCATTCTGTGGCGCTGGCAACTGACAAAATTGTGACCCGTTTTCAAGGATTCACAGCTGCCCACATGACATTGTGGTCTTATTGTGTAGGCTTGAGGTTTTAAAAATCCAACAGTGTTACCTAAAATTGCTGTATGAACCCTTTACGAGTTCACCCACTATCACAAAGTCTTTAAGGTTACAGTGAACCAGTCAAGAAGGAATTAGTTTTTGAAACGATTCAATGAACTCACAGTTTGTCTTCTGTCAAGTCCAAAACACTTGGCTGTGACATTAGTTTTTTAAATAAAAAAAAACGAGCGAGCAAATTGCGCGCTCAAAGAAAACGCCTGCACTGCATTTACAAAACGATCCTGCACGTGGAAAGACTTCCAGAACGCAGCCTCGTTACAATGGAAGCCTCTCTTGTCTCATATCACGTGATCGTGGTGAGTAAACATCCATACTGAGTCGGAGCAGGTGAAATGTTTTTGTTATTTTCTGGAACGAAAATGTTATTTTCTAAGTTTTTTGTCAGTATTTTGATCTCCATGTCCTTTTTCGCAAATACTTCGGGTAAAGACACCGTCATTTTAGTTTCTTTCGACGGTTTTCGATGGGATTATCTCGACATGAATCGGACCAATACAGAAAACTTCGATTCTATTATTCAGGAAGGCGTTCGAGCTGAGTATGTTCAAAATGTTTTCCCAACCGTTACGTTTCCGAATCACTACACTATTATGACAGGACAGTATGCTGAGAGCCATGGAATAATATCCAATAGCATGTACGATCCCGTTCTTAATGAGAACTTCAGCATGGACACGAACGACTCGAAATGGTGGAATACGTTCAGTGAACCGTTGTGGATCACCAACCAAAACCAGGGTCATAAAAGCGGGATGTGTTACTGGCCGGGCTATGATGTGGAATACAAAGGGCAAAACGCATCGTACACTACAAGTGGATATGGTTTTAATAAACCTTTTTTGACTGAAGAGGGTATAATGCCTTGGAAGGAACGAGTTGATGTCATTATAAAATGGTTGAAAGAACCAGATCCTCCATCATTTGTGACCCTATATTTTAATTCACCAGATGAGGCTGGCCACTGCTGTGGACCATACTCAGTAAACGTTACAGAAGAAATCAGGAAAGACGACAAGATCACGGGATACTTATTGGAGCAATTGCGTAAAGAAAAAAAATTGGATGAAGTTAATCTAATTATCACCGCCGATCATGGAACTGGAGCCTACAACACAAGCACAATCATCAACTGTACTGATTATTTAACTCCTGATTTAAAGTTTTGGGCTGGAGGAGGAAATTTTTTTTTCTTACACGCTGATAACGTAACTCGTGCTTACAACAAGTTAAAAGAATGTCAAAAGTTGCAACCCCATTTCTCAGTTTTTTATAAGGAGGAAGTACCAGATGACCTTCACATAAAACATAGTAATCGTGTTCCTGAAATTGTAGTTATCATGGACGAATACTGGATTGCAGAGATTTCAAAAGCTCATAACACAACAGCTTCTGAGCCTGTTGTCACTAAAGGAGCTCATGGTTGGGTTCCATCCATACCATCAATGCGTCCGTTCTTTATTGCACGTGGCCCAGCATTCAAGGTTGGTCACAAATTTGGTCACATAAACATGGTTGATATCTACCCATTGATATGTCATTTACTTGGAATAAAACCAGCGCCAAATAATGGATCCCTAGATCGCATTGCTCACCTACTGAAATCTACACCTCGCACTGAATCAAGTTCACTGAATACTGGAGAGATTATAGCATTAGTTATCGGGACTGCAATTGGCTTAACAGTTTGTATGTATGCCGTTATCATGGTTGTGAAGGATCGGAGACTTGCGAGAGGGCAAAGGAGGCCAGGAGAAGTGGATGTGCCACTGATAGATGGTGAATTATATGGTGACCAAGAAGATGACAGTGTCATTTAAATGCAGAAATATAAATTTGTAAGGTTTTACTATTTTGTAGTTCTACAAAACCTATGCAAGATCATATTACAATCTAGGAAGTAGTTCAATTTCTCCATTAACACGTAATATTGTGGTTCAATTTTAACTTTAAGTTTCAAGTTTTATTTTCCTTTACTTTGTTTTTGGGTATTCTAAGTTAATGAATGACAATTATTGACTCTGCAACAAAGGAAAATAATATTTAAATCAGGGATAAAATTGAACTCAATATGTACAGCAGGGCTAGGGAGTAAAGTTTCATGATTCTGCTGTCACTTGTGTTAAAACACTAACTACTAAGCAAACATTTTAAGATAGAGTAAGAGACATGTATAAAGTGCTAACAGTCAAACCTGTATAAAGCAGTCAACTGCAGAGAATGACCAACTGATACAGGACTGTATAGCCCAAGAGTTAAGACTGGTTCTCTGTTCTCACTTACTGGCCTGCAAAATAGCTGCAGGCACTACCTGGAATACTGTTCCAAGATGCAGTGTGTGAAAACATGATGTCTCTAGCAACACCAACTATCAATGGTACCTCTGTGCAAGTGGCATGCCTGTGAAGTTAAATTGTTTCAACAGAGCGGGCACACAGGCAGTAGACTTAGATGGCCTCGGTTGCCGACCATCATCAGCTATTACTGATTGTCAGTTACTGTCCAAATGGAATGAATGGTATCTGAGGCAGTAACAGTGGCTTTGTCGCAGGTAGATTGGCACAACATGAGAACCAGAAATAAATCAAGACAAAAATGTGACAGAGAAGGAAGGATCTATCACAAGATAATATTATAAACAGTCATAAAGTCCATGCACAAATTAATTTATTTAGTTCACTGTCATGGTATCAATAATATTATGTTAAGACAGTAGGAAATAACTTATGACGATAAAAGTATAAATTAAACATAGGAATCATAACTTATGAGAAAAAATAACTTATTAGTGCCTAGTAAAAGGCGACTGCCTTTAGTATGGGAACCGCTTTCATAACCAAGTATAGGTGAAGTACATGTACCTTAGTATAGGAAATTAACGTGAATCGTTAAAAGTCGCGTTAATTTAAGTCGCGTTAATTTCCGCAACGTTAATTAGACGGCCTTGGTTGCCGACCATCATCAGCTATTACTGATTGTCAGTTACTGTCCAAATGGAATGAATGGTATCCGAGGCAGTAACAGCGGCTTTGTCGCAGGTAGATTGGCACAACATGAGAACCAGGAATCAATCAAGACAAAAATGTGACATAGGGAAGGAAGGATCTATCACAAGATAATATGAAAATATTATAAACAGTCGTAAAGTCCATGCCCAAATTAATTTATTTAGTTCACTGTCATGGTATCAATAATATTATGTTAAGACAGTAGGAAATAACTTATGACGATAAAATTATAAATTAAACATAGGAATCATAACTTATTATGAGAAAAAATAACTTATTAGTGCCTGGTAAAAGGCGACTGCCTTTAGTATGGGAACTTCTTTCATAACCAAGTATAGGTGAAGTACATGTACCTTAGTATAGGAAATTAACGTGAATCGTTAAAAGTCGCATTAATTTAAGTCGCGTTAATTTCCGCAACATTAATTAAGTGCAGCGTTAATTTCCGCCCTCTTAATTTCCAGTATTTTAACCCCAATTTAGGAACCTGTCCATACATTCTTGACACCTAAAAAACATTAACTACAAGCTTTCTTTCTTTCCATTTACCCTTTATTTTTCATCTTTTACAAAAGCTAAGGTGAATGTTTACAATATTTCGAGTTCATATTCATCATTGTCGCTGTCAGAAGTGATGTCAATATCTTCTCCTTTGATTTCGCGTAATTAATCGTGTTAATTTCCTTTATTATGAAATTTTACCTCCTCTTCCGCGTTAATTTTCTTTATCCAAAAGTCCTTCCCATTAAATTCACGTAAATTTAAGTCGCGTTAATTTCCAATACCTTAATTTCATGGAGCGTTAATTTCCTATAATAAGGTAGTTAAGGGAAATATTCTGATCATTTCATAGAGGTTTACGCTTAAGTCAAAAGGCCATTAACAACCTACAGAAAGCAATATAAAATATGTTACATTATATCATTCTGTGGTACTGGCAGCTGACAAAATTGTGACCCGTTTTCAAGGATTCACAGCTGTCCACATGACATTGTGGTCTTATTTTGTAGGCTTGAGGCTTTAAAAATCCAACAGTGTTTCCTAAAACTGCTGTAGGAACCTTCACGAGTTCACCCACTCTCACAAAGTCTTTATAAGGATACAGTGAACCAGTCAAGAAGGAATTAGTGTTTAATACAATGTAATAAACTCACCGTTTGTGTTTTTGTCAAGGCTGAAACACTTGGCTGTGACATTAGTTTTTTTTAAAAAAAAAAAAGACTAATAAAAAACTTTTGCTGGATTATTAATAGGACTCTTTCTCAGATTTCTGAATTCCACTGGAGAAAACCACTTTTCACTGGAGTTTGTTTTTGTTTTTGTTGTTGTTTGCTACAATGATGGTGGGCAAATCATAACCTCAGCTGACACCTTCTCCAACAGCAGCCTCGATCTCATGCAGGGCATCACAAGGACGTGTTGTTAATAAGAATGTCTGCATGGAATGCTATTCAGACAAAAGAGGTTGTAAAGGTCTCTTTAAAAACCTAAGGTTTCTCAAAATTGCTGTGGAATTTTAAATACTTGCAGTTTCACAGCCAATTTTAGTAATTTCTCTTTGTGAATAGGCTGACTGCTCGCTTTATTTGACATCACATCAACCATTGCTTTATTTGTGTCCCATATGTAACTTGACAATGTAAGATGTGCAGTTCAACATTTTGTTCTCGGTAATAGGGAAGTGGTTGAATTTACAATGAAACTGCTCCTACCAATTCCACATGTCATGGACTGGTTTTTCATTAGTTGCAACTTGGATTACACTTTCTACAAAGTCTGGAAAAAAGAAATGTACTCTTTCTACAATGCTAAGGTACCAGGGAAAATACACCTGCCGCTTTCTGAGAACAATTCCTTTGATCATAGCAAGAGCACATTCATTGACAGGCTCAGGTTTAACACTGTCATAAACTGGAGTACCTTTTGTTCCCGTACGAGCATTCTTTGTATCTATGTATCCAAGGACATACAGGGTTATAGTGATGTCTCGTTGTCCTTGGATTGCCAAATCTTGCCTCAAAGTGTCAAAAAATCCATGTAGAGCATGCTTATTGCCACAGTATGACGCAGCCCTTGGCGTTGAGACAACCCCTGCAAATGATGACACTACTACAATGCTTCCATTAGTCTTGTGGAGTTCAGGAAGAAGTAATGTTGCTATGTTAATGTAGCTAATGGTGTTAACTGCATAGTATTGTGGGAGTTTCTTGAGGTCGCTGTTCTCATTCCACAGGTCATAAACTATTGGTGTCAGATGATTAAGGATAAGGATGTCTGGCCTCCCATCAAACAACTTTTTGGTCTCCTACAAAAATGTTGGAAATCATACTCTAGCAAAAACGGTTGAACCTCCATTATGCAGACACCTACATGATGAACAGCCTCTCTTTTTTCTCTGTCTGTCGAGCGCAATGCGCAAGACAAGCAAATGACCACGCATGTTACTGAAGGCGCTCATGCACACATGCACTCCCCACACTAAATCTGCAGAAAAAGAGAGACTGCTCAAAGTCTAGCAGCCATCTTATTAAGCAGCTATTAAGCCCTTGATACACTTTGTGTAACTTTGTTTTAAATATCTGATGAAGGAAAATACAGTCCAAGATGCCAAGGGGAGGGGGGGAGGGGTACTTGAGTTAATTTTTGCTGGGTATGTGCTGCTGGCCTCTCAGAGCCCCTACCCCATTATAGTCTATTCTGTGGCCAGTTATAGACCCCATCTTAGTCACTTTTGGGCAAATATATAATTTTCAGGATCCCAACTTACCGGTAGTCACTTTCTATTTTTATGAATTGACCCATTTTTAGATTAAATGAAGAATACTTTACTTTTCATCTACAGTACAAACATTCTGGTACATTTGCTAACCGTAAATATGAAGAACTGACCTACCCCCCAAAACTCAGAAAATGTGCGACCCCATTCTAGTGAATCTATTGAAAATATGACCCCATTATAGTTCCCCACCCTCCCCGCCCCCGGACCAAGTGATGGAAGGTGATGACTGATTGACAACCAGTAATGTCCCTCCCATCGCATGCATGTTTGTTTCAAATTAAATGATTGTTTCTTCTAGAGATTATGCTACAGCTGTAATTTATGACAAACATCTATTGAGTGGCCAGTCTCCATTAAGCGGCCAATTACCAGTACCCTGGGGGTGGTTACTAATAATGGGGTTCAACCAGAAACCCATAAGGGGTTTTAAACTCCTTATGAGTTTCTGGTTCAAGTGTAAAACTTAATCCCAGGGGTAAATTCAATAAAATTCTACAAGTGTGGCTATTGTTTCATACCCTAAAATGAAATCTTCACTAATATTGTAATTAACCCCATTGTAAATAAGAAAAAACGGGAGGAAGCCAAGAATGCAAGGTATTGGGGGTGGGAAGTTTAGACCCTCTGTGCTCCCTCCAGCTAAATAAAGCTGATTATTTGAGATACTTGATGTGAAGTTATGAAGAAAAAGATTATACACTGGGGTGCCAAGAAAGTCAGTTTTACAGTCTGCCATTTGGGCAAGCTGTAGCTAGCATATACTAGCTCACACTAAGTCATTTCAATTAGCCCAAAACAATTTTTGATTAGCAGGATTGATTACAATCCTTCTGCAATTTGAATTTCCCCCAAAAAAACAGCACTTGCCCATCGGGCAAGTTAAGAGCAAAAATCACTAGTCCGATAGCAAAATCCACTAGCCCCAGGCTATCGGACACAACTTTCTTTGCACGCTGTACATACAACAGCAAAGTGCATGGCACCCTCAGAAGAAGACAGATCAGCTACATGTAGCTTGCTATTGAGCACCCAATTAATTTGCCACAGTGTGCTACAATGTTTTGAAGTACGGCTTCTTGCCTCGTAACAAGCAACAGTTGGGTGCCAAATTTCATGTATTGATATGCAAATTCCTCTCCGATACCTTTGGATGCTCCACAAATCACCACCTTTCCACGTCGCTGTGATTCAGGAACAAACCTTTCCCATACAAACCAGGCAATCAGAGCTGCTGCAGAAGCTGCAAAAACACTGAAGAATAATGAGCTTCAACATAGTACACGCCATTTTTGACTGATGTGCTCCTGACCTTGGCCTTTGATAGCTAGCCGATGCCTGCCATGTAGGCTAGACCTTTGATGATTCTGAGGTTCCAGACGCATAAACAAACCAACTACGCGACAGACAAGGCAAGCGAATGACTTCATAAACACTAAAAGCCATGCAAGAGAGAAGGCTCTGCTCGCAGGGTAAACAAAGGCTGATAAAAAAATTAAAGAGTCTCAAAATTTCAATAGAATCTCACAAAACTTGCAGTTTCACTACTTATTTAATTTATTCATGTAAGGAATTTTTTTTTAACTCTTGTCTGTGATTGAACACTCATTTTCCTTACTCAAAAATGTTTTCATACACCACATATAACTCAATCCATGAAGTGCTGCTTACTGTCATCAGTGATTTTACAAACTACTTTCTACCAATTCCACATGTCCTGGACTGGTTTTTCATTACTTGCAACTTGGATTACACTTTCTACAAAGTCTGGAAAAAAGAAATGTACTGTTTCTACAATGCTAAGGTACCAGGGAAAATACATCTGCCGCTTTCTGAGAGCAATTCCTTTGATCATAGCAAGAGCACATTCATCGACAGGCTCGCGTTTAACACTGTCATAAACTGGAGTACCTTCTGAGCCCTTATGAGCATTTGCTGTTGCTATATATCCAAGGACATACAAGGTTATAGTGATGCCTTGGCGTCCTTGAATTGCTAAATCCTGCCTCAATGTGTCAAAAAATCCATGTAGAGCATGCTTATTACCACAGTATGGCGCAGTTCTTGGCGCAGGAACAACGCCTACAAATGATGAAACCACTACAATGCTTCCATTAGTCTTCTGGAGTTCAGGAAGAAGTAATGTTGCTATGTTAATATAACTGATGGTGTTAACTGCATAGTATTGCGGGAGTTTGTTGAGGTCACTGTTCTCATTCCAAAATCCATAAAAACTCATCAGATGGTTGAGGATGAGGATGTCTGGCCCCCCATCAAACAGCTTTTTGGTCTCCTACAAAGTGTTCGAAATAGTTCAGGAAATAAAATTGGCATTTAAGATGGGCCATTTTGTTGCCAATAGAGTACTAAAGTGATGATGTCATAAAAATGAAATTTTTGAAATTATGGGATTTGTGAGGATATTCTGAAAGAACAATGTCCAATAGGCCTACTTACCAAAAATGAGCATTTCGGGGCAAATTGTCTCTGAGATGTTAGCCGGTTAAACTCAGAAAACTCCATACAAACCCTTCTATATTTTTTTGGGTCAACCCCAAAGAAATTTAGAAGGGTTTGTATGGAGTTTTCCAAACATAACTGGGCTACGATCTCAGAGACAATTTGCCCCGCAATGCTCATTTTTGGGAAGTAGGCCTCTTGGACATTGTTCATTCAGAATATCCGGACAAATCCCATAATTTCAGAAATTTCATTTTTATGACGTCACACTTTAGTACTCTATTTCAATGTGAAATGGCATGCCCAACCTTAGTGCATCTCATGAAATCACTATCTCCAAGTTACTTAAATACAAGTAAAATTTACAAGTGCATGGTTATTTGTTTTCAAACTCTAAAACAATAGCTACACTTGTAAACTATATGTAGAAAAGGTTTATTGAATTGACCCAAACATATAGACTCAATGTCTGTCATTTTACCAAGTTCAGACTTCAGTATGTGATGATGAAAGGTCGATGGCAATTGATAACTGGAGAACTAACTAACAGATAACTGGAGAACTAACATCCCACACCAAACAACAGTGAAAGGGCAATCAAAGACAAACTGTTGTTTACAGAGAATTCATGCGAAATGGTGTCAATTGTCAGAAACGAAGGAGCTGTCAAGAACAGCAATTAAGGAGGCATGAAAAGCAGAAAATCGCCAGATCCCATCAGTCTCTTATTTTTTCTTCACTGGCACTTCCGCTCTCATTACTCGTAGCCTTGCCACTCGCCCCTCACGCATGCTCTTGATCTCCATGACTCAAAAAAAAGTAAGAGACTGCTCGCAGTCTATGGAAGGTTTTAAGACCCCTATCCTCCCCTCCCCCACCCCCCTCCCCGCTCACCCTCTCCTCTTAGCAGGTGCATAACCAAGTAACCAAGGCTACTTGACAGGAAATCCTGACAAAAACTATATAAAACTTACTGCAGCTAATTGCTTGGCACCCTCCAACGAAGACAGATCCGCTACAACATAGCTTGCCGTTTGAGCGCCCAGTTCGCCACAGCGTGCGACAACCTTTCGAAGGACCGCTTCTCGTCTGGCGACAAGCAACACTTGAGCGCCAAATTTCGCGTATTGATATGCAAGTTCCTCTCCGATACCTGTGGATGCTCCACAAATAACCACCTTTTTACCTCGAAGTGATTCAGGATCAAGGCTTTCCCGCATATACCAGGCAATCAGAACTGCTACAGAAGCTGTTAAAACACCGATGAATACCAGCTTCCACATATAAACGCCCGCCATTTTTGTGCTGACTAGCTGCTCTGACCTTGACCTTCGATGATTCTATAGTTCCAGACTTCCCCGGCCAAGAGTCCCTTGGTCCGATGCGAAAGCGATCAAAGAAGAAGAAATCGATAGTGCAATTGATAGGTAAATAAGTTGTAAAGTTCAGGATATGTGTTCATAAAAATTTGTGGAACAGGACTTTTCAAAGACCTTTCAAAGGACTTCCAGACATTCCTCAGTAAGCCGAACGGTTCCGACTTTTGTTTCCGATGTTCTTTACTTCCGACAATGTATTGATTACATTAACAGTTTGTTGTCACTACGTGGATGGAAGATAGAGATCTGCGATGGCGGCACAATGAAAGTGGTATTTATCACAAAGCAAGGATGGCTGATCCTCTTGGTAGCGTGTGTTTTTATCATTGGGAACTGCCTTCTACTCTATCGTTTCTTAAACAAGGCTTCTATCGCAGAAAATGAAAAATTGAGACAACTTGCTGAGAGATACTTTGAAAATGATTATGTCAGAGGAGGCAGGCTCAGTGAGTTGGCTGCAGCAGTTAGAGTATTAAAAAAGAGGCCTACAAAACCAAGAACGAGATTGAATGAATCCGAAACCCCTCTACATGATTCTACCTTACCTTTAGACGAGAAAAAAAGACTTGTTTTGATCAAAGATGCTCAAGAAAGAACCAAGAAGAGTGCAATCAAATTTAAAGTTACAGCACGGACATCGAAGGAAAAACAATCAGTTACGACTGTTATATCAAGTTCAGCAGCAAACGATTTCGTTGCTGCAATAGTTGTCATAGCATGTAATAGACCAACGGTGAAGCGTTGCTTAGATCTGCTGTTGAAATATCGTCCATCGGCCAAGCAGTTTCCCATCATAGTAAGCCAAGATTGTGGACATCAAGAAACTGCTGATGTCATAGCATCATATAAAGATCAAGTTAGACATGTTAAACAGCCAGACCTTTCAAATGTCCAAGGTGTCCCTGGCAACATGTTGTCTATGATGGGGTACTACAAGATTAGCCGGCATTACAAGTGGGCCCTAGGTCAGGCTTTCGATCATCTGAGTTATGATACAGTCATCATAGTTGAAGATGATTTGGATATTGGTAAGTTCCGTAAGCATCATTTTGTTTGCCTGCAATGCAGGCGTATCTTTTGGTTAAGGGAAAGCCCCTAATGGCAAAGCTGCTATCTTTGATTTTTTGACAAAGGAAGATTGGGGAGAGTAGAAATAGCAACCCTTGGGTGGTCGCTAGGGTGAAAAGGAGGAGAGAGGGAAAGGGGAGGGAGTCCCTTCCCCCCCTTTCCCTTTGCCTCACCCAAACTTCTCCAATTTTACAATTTAATGTACCAGTTTCATCATGGTGATTAGGCGAGAAAAACACTCGTGCACCCAGTGAAAATACCAGGCGGCGGTTGTTCAAATGCTGGATAGCACTTTCCACTGGATAAATCACTATCCAGTGCATGAGTATCAGGAAAAGGATTGCACTACCCGTGACAATACAAAAAACAGCTGTGTAACAGACTATGTTAGTGGGTCCAGCTAGTGAAATTCCGTACTTCTTAGTTAATAGGCCTGGCCCCAGTTGTTTTAAAGGTGGAAAACGCTACCCAACATATAAATCTCTTTCTACATGATAGTGATTTATCCAGAGGATAGCGCTATCCAACTTTTGAACAATCATGGCTCACCACGTAAGAAATTGAACTGGTGTTACTTGAAATGTAAAATAAGGTATTTTGCCTCCAATAGCACCAGACTTCTATGAATACTTCACTGCAACAAAACCCTTGCTGGACAAGGACCCATCACTGTGGTGCATCTCAGCATGGAATGACAATGGAAAAGAGGGAATGGTACAGAGAAACGACGCCCTCTACAGAACAGACTTCTTTCCCGGACTTGGATGGATGCTGAGAAAATCACTTTGGGATGAGCTTAAACCAAAATGGCCACTAGGTTTTTGGGACGATTGGATGAGAGAGCCAACCCAGCGTAAAAACAGGGCGTGCATACGACCAGAAATCCCAAGGACAAAAACGTTTGGGAGAGTTGGAGTAAGCCGTGGACAGTTTTTTGATCAACATTTAAGATTTATTAAACTAAATGACCAAGTGCATCCATTTACTAAAACAGATCTTTCTTATTTATTAAAAGACAATTACGATGAAAAGTTTGTCAAACGTATACACACGTTGCCTCTTGTTACTGTGGATCAGTTGGTCAAGAAGAACGTGTTTGTTCCCGAAGTGCAGGTTCACTACTCATCCGAGCAGGACTTTCAATTTGTAGCAAAACAACTTGGTGCAATGACAGACTTTAAAGCAGGCATACCAAGGATGGCATACCAAGGAATAGTTTCAATAATATTTTCTGGTGTCACAGTTCACTTAGTACCATCCAATTAACTTTGTAGTACTGTAAATTTCTGATTATAAGTCCCCCCTACTTATACGCCCCCCCCCCCACCATTTATAGGCCCATCTACCTGTAAACATGCCTGTATTGAAATGAATTCAACTTTTTACAATATTTTGAAGCTTAAAAAAGGAATCAAATTCAAAAACTATTTTGACCGGCTCTGCTGTGTGCAGTAGCTTTTTTTGGAACTTTTTTTAGTCCAGTTATAAGAGTTTGTCTCCCTAACATCTTTGCCTCCCTAAAACAGAACTAATTAAAGGTGTCCTATCTGTACAAAACATGTCAAAATAACGTTAAAGAAACTTGCCAAGTATCATTATTTACTGTAATTTAACTGCAATTAAAGGAATTTAAATTATTGATAAAGATGTTCACAATTTAAGCCACAACCTCTACAATTAGTTTTTGAATAATAATTATTTAAGTTCACTACCCACAACATACCTTACTTGTCAACAACATGCGGTATTTATATTCATGTATTTTTTATTTGTTTCGAGACGGTCATAAAACCAACCAGTTAAGCTTTTCATCAAATTTTATTGCACTGCAGGTTGCTTCAATTTTAATGTATGTTCCTTTTACGAGGCAAAATGAAGTCTGGTAATTGAACATTGGGTTATTCCTCAAGTCTTGTTATTTGCTCCTACAGAATAGTCTATGAAATTTAGCGGGTATTTCCACTTTAAGCGAAAACTAATATTGATAGCACAACTGGAGCTTAGTAAAAATAAAACAAAATGAATTTACTTCACAGAAGTTCACTCATTAATGAGCCTCCGGGAAAGCAACAAAAAGGATTTGACTGCTTAAAGAAGACGGAAACTTGATGCTAAAATGGGATGCACAAAAATTAAAGTTATTCCTTCTTCTCAGCATCGTCATCACTGGTTTGAAAGTCTTTTCTACCTTCCTCGGCATTTTCTTCCGTTTGTTTCTCACTGTCCTGTTTCTCATTGTCCTCAGCTGGTTCACTTTCTTTTATTTCTTCAGTTTTTTGCCCGCTTGATTCATCTTTGACTCCTTCCTCTGTTTGTTCTGCAGGTTCAGTTTCTTCCTCTGCATCTTTGGTAACTTCTTTGGTTCTTTCTTGCCCTTCTGTTTCTTCTTTGTCATCTCCAGATTTAACACCTGAAAAAGTTGAAGGAATTGCTATAAGCATGGCCTATTTCCCTTGTGCTTGATTTAAATAATTTTAGGGGCCTAATCACCGTAATGTAGGTTTTCACGACGGTACTGCACGGAAAGGCTTTTCTATTCTGTGACAACAATAAAAAGCTCAAACAACTGAAGCAAACAGGGAGCTTAACAAGCATGACAGACATGGCATGAATCAGAAAGTCAAAACAAGCAATAGGTTTTATATAAAAGCATCAAATCTGCATTTGCATCACACTTTTGGTACATTTCTTTGACACTACGACATGACTAAGATGTTAAGCCTTTCAATGCAGCGTTTACACGTGATGAAGAACTTGACTGTGATCTGTTATAATTCAACTCAGGAAAATTTGTCATCAGTAGACAAGTTAACTTAGTTGGAATGGGGATTAAGTTTAAAAGAACACCAATGCACTTTCAAAAACAATGCCATCGCTGTCTACAGGGGCAGACAAATTTTTTACGATTGTGATTTTAATGCACTCAGTCTAACTTTTATTGATTTCCCAAACCAAGTCCTAAGGTTTGAAAATGTGATTTCACCTACTCCTGTAAAAGAAAAAGGTTACAAGAACTATTTTCACTAAGTTAACAAAATGCCGTCATAGAGAGGTTTCAGTGTTACCTTGAAAAGAGTGAGAGAATAAATGAGAATGAATGAAGAAAGACAAGAACAAATCAATTTGAGATCAGTGAATGGCAGATCTATGAATGAAAATAAGAGGTCCAAATAAAAACCAACGTATGGCAGAGTTGTTTAAAGGAAGATATCACTGTCAACTGGTACATGTACTAAGGTGTTTGTTTATATTACCAAGTGGATTTCTCTTTACCTTGAGCAATTCTATCATTGATATCATTGATGGTCTTGGATATGGCTTTCTCAGCCGCTTCATCTTCCAGGATTTTGGCCAGTTCTAAGGCTTTCTCGAATGTCTGTAAAGCAGCTTGAAGATCGCCAAGTTTTACTACAGAAAAGAAATTCATGAAGAAATTCCATTTCACTTAGAATACTTGCTGTCATTCACAAAAAAACATTAAGAAACTTTTAAGGGCTTACATGATATCTCCAGAGCACAATAACCTTTAAAATAACCACTCTAAGCATTTACGTGTTTTGAGGAGTAGGCCATGTCTGTATCAGTAATTAACCCATCTTTATGTCGTTCGTCGCTATTTCCTCTAGACTAATGTTGCTGTTTCAAGGACATGTCGCTTGTTAGAATTTTTCCCTGACAACACAACCAGTAATTCTTCATCTCACTGAAACTTACCTTCAGCCTGTCCCACAAGGACTGTAGCATTTAGCTGCCAGACCTTATCATCTGCTTGCTCTGCCGCAGCCAATGACTTCTGGCCAAACTCCTTGGCATCCTGGTAGTACTTGAGCTCTAAATGACACCTGCCAATCTCATGGTAAAGCCAGGTGCTTTCAAGCACTGATTTACAGAATGGGAGCTTCTCCATCCAAGCATCAATAGCTTTAGTGTACTCTCCTTGTTTGGCATATAATCTTCCAAGGTTATCAAGTGCTCGTGATTTGGCTTCTTTGTCCTCCCTTGTGACAAGGATATTGAAGTATATTAGAAAGTGTAAATGCAAAAATAAATTAGGCAGAAGACCTGGACGTAAAACCTCGTTCCCAGGGTTCTCTCCTACCCCTGGGAACAGGGTTGCCAAGCTAATTAATAATGTGCTGGACTTGCTCACTTGTGGCTCAGAGTTCAAGCTTTACCCTAAGAGCTAGATGAATTCATTCACAGTTTAAGTAAAGATCAACTGCTGCGCCAAGTCGTTTACCTCCAGTCAATTGAGATTCTTACCTGCTGGTAAAATTTTTATTTCAATATTATTTGTTTCTCTCCTTATTTTTGGACCACGATGTCAACTACTGGATTAACAGTACTTGTGTTACCGTTATATATTCACTTTTTTAAAAAATACTAAAATCATAATTCCAGTTAGAAGGAGGATGACCTACATTTGTCTTTTTGCCAGTGGTGTTATAGGAAGTCTTGATACCACTCGCATGACAAGATTAGCCTGCAGTGCAGGCGTTTTCATCGGGTGCACGAATGGTTTTAATCGCGAAAGCGCTATGCTGAAACTCCCGAAGAGAGGAGGAAATGGGACAAGTCAAGGGGGGGGGGGAGGGGGGAGGAGAAAGAAGAGAAAACGCATGCCCAAAAACACTGTGGAAATGAGAAACACCCTCTAATTAGTATTTTTTTTCCTCCCCTCCCCCTCCCCCTCCCTCCTCTCCTTCTTTCGCCCTCACACCTACCTGAAGGGTTACTATTTCTACTCTCCCCAATCTACCTCTGTTATAACATCAAAGATGGCAGCTTCATCACAGCGATACGTACATGAACAAGCTTTCGCCTACCCAAAATACACCTGCACTGCAGGCTATGACATGATTTGACGGAAAACTTTAATACTACTGAGTTGAACGTCCACTAACAGCCACCTCTCCACAATGGCCATCTCTCTTCAACGGCCACTTTTTTGGCAGACAGTTCATACATTGACTCTTGTTTAAACCTCTCTACAACGGCCAATTTCTTTCTGTCCCAAAGGTGGCCATTGTGGAGAGGTTCAATTGTATATCTGACTGAGTTACGGAGTTGGGAGCTGCCTGATAGATTTGCCTCTGTTCAAAGAGCCTTAACCCTTCTAAAACTCCAATAGTGACCCACATCCAATTTCTCCCAACAATAACACAGCCTGATCAAATAGACAGGTAAATGTGAATTAACGAAATGATCACTAAAGATGAAATTTTGTGATGTTAAAACAAATTCTCTCAAGCAGTACGATTAAGGAATGTATGAAGAACAATGTGGAGAAGATACATGTTGATGTTGGGATTTAAAGGGTCAAATAAAATATCACGAGAGTTCGCCACCCTAATTAGGTCATCATATTTAACCTACCGCTTCTTGGCAGCCTTGAGGTCCTTTTCATGATATTTTAAGGCCTCATCATAATTATCCATTTCAAGATAGGCATTTCCAATGCACGAATATAAATTGCCAATAACTTCAGCTTTATTTGGCACACTCTCTGCTCCTAATGATTGCACTGTTTTCAGGGTAGACTGCGCTTTTTTCAAACTGTCTTCAGGCTCGCCATCCGCCAGTGCCTCGTCAATTTCTTCCAGTGATCTTAAGATGTATTTTGTTGTGTCAGCAGGTTTTTGTTGTTGCGCTGGTTTCTTTGGAGGTAGTTTCTTATTTTTGCGAGCATACAGTGGTTCTTGCTGCCTCCAAAAATCTATCCTAGTGTCCAAGTAATTCAGGCCATCTTGTACAAGATCATAATAATTATTTGTGCTGTTGCCATGTATAAAATCTAGAAAAAAAGGTTCAAGACTCTTAATCCTTAAGCCATGTTTCAGTTTTCACGTAAGTATGACAAGACGTAAGTATGATCAGGGTTTTGCATAAGGTATGGTATGTATTTTTGAAAAAATCTGGTATATGGTACACCTATCTTTTCCAGCTGAAAGGTCATAAAATTTTAAGTTTACAGTACATTATACCTCCTTTAGTCCTGGGTATGATGCACAAAATATTTAGAGTTCGGGTTCTTTTGGCTAATCATTTGGACATACATTCAAAGCCTGTTAATTCAAACAACGATGGGGCTACAAAATAGAAGGTGTCCATATTAATGGGGTCTGTGATAAAGTGTCTGTAATAATCAGGTGTCTGTTAAGTGGGTGTCCATAGAGTGGGGTCTGTAATAATGAGGTGTCTATTAAGTGGGTGTCCGTAAAGTGGGGTCTGTAATAATGAGGTGTCTGTTAAGTGGGTGTCCGTAAAGTGGGGTCTGTAATAATGAGGTGTCTGTTAAGTGGGTGTCCGTAAAGTAGGGTCTGTAATAATGAGGTGTCTGTTAAGTGGGTGTCCATAAAGTGGGGTCTGTAATAATGAGGTGTCTGTTAAGTGGGTGTCCATAAAGTGGGGTCTGTAATAATGAGGTGTCTGTTAAGTGGGTGTCCATAGAGTGGGGTCTGTAATAATGAGGTGTCTGTTAAGTGGGTGTCCATAGAGTGGGGTCTGTAATAATGAGGGGTCTGTTAAGTGGGTGTCCATAGAGTGGGGTCTGTAATAATGAGGGGTCTGTTAAGTGGGTGTCCATAGAGTGGGGTCTGTAATAATGAGGTGTCTGTTAAGTGGGTGTCCTTTAAGTGGGGTCTGTAATAATGAGGTGTCTGTTAAGTGGGTGTCCGTAAAGTGGGGTATGTAATAATGAGGTGTCTGTCAAGTGGGTGCCTGTAAAGCAGGGTTTGACTGTAAACATACTACCTTTCCCTGACTGCCCCTTACAGAAAGCAGCTATCACACTGAGCTAAAATAATCGGCAATAAATTGAAATAGTTTGACGTACCTTGGTCGCTCATAAGTTCCTCTAGATATTTCTTGTCAGCATATAATTCCCCTAAAAGCTGCATCAAAGATTAAGTGAACTTAATCAGTTTTGTCAAAGGTAAAACTTACAGGGGATATAGAGCTGCAAAGTTACGTAGTTGCTGAAAGGTCTCTTGCTTCCTCAGGGATTGTCATTAACTTTTTGAGGCCCCTAAAAATCTAGTGCCATACTACCCAAAAATATTGATATCTAGCAATAGCAATGCTCTCAAAAAGCATTTCCAGCATTCTGTCAGCAACAAACTGTCATGAAAAGACAAATGTAGTCCATTTCAATTTTGAGTCTAACAGCCTAGTTATCTCACAGCATTACAGCATAAAATTTATGCTATAAAATATAAACAGTTCCATGCGAAAGTTCTGCCAAATATGTCTTGGTAATAGTAACAACATAGGATTTCATCCACAGATTGGAAAGTTAAAGTTACAAATTGTGCCACCATACTTTTGTATAGGTGTCAAAAGTTTAATATAATCATCAACAAAGGAATGAAAACCGCTTTTGAAATAACAAAAAAAAATTTATTCATACTAAGGCGCACTGGTAGACCCTAAAATTAATATTACGCTGCCTTTACTTCCTAATGATCCATTACTAATTCGGACATTTAAAGACAATACCCTCTATTTTTCAAACGCTCCCCACCTTTTTAATAGTCTTTTCTGACTTTACAGGGCTTTTAACATTCTTCCCTCTGTTCACTGCTTGTTGCTGATTCCTTGCCGCCTGGGTTGTTGGTTTGCTGTATCCCTTATTTGCCTTTTTCTAAAAACGAAGAAAATATTTTTATTTACACTTAATAGCCAGGTAAATAATTAATTTTTATATGGTTGGATATAGACCTTTTTTCATATTTCCTTGAAGAAGGCACCAAGTTGAGACTTGACAAATTGTCCACCCAAGCCTTGGTTATTTTGCAGGGTCATCTCCATTTAATTTACCCTCATAACCCAGCTAAAATGATAAAGGATTAATGAGAATATTAATTTTCATCTGATCATTCTGGCTGGGCATCACACATGTACACTGTATTTCCTTTTTGAGCAGAAAATAAATTTTGAACCAAGAATAAAATTGAAAAATAGGACATTTTTATGTCAGCTGCAGTTGCCCAAAAAGGTTGAAGGACAAGAATGGTATTCAAATGTTGACTTTTCTAGCTGTTAAAAAGCAGTTAACAAGATTATAGAGAAGGCTCCTTCATACGTCTACATGACTTATGCCAAAAAAATTTCAAGTACTTACTCCTTCATCTTGCTTAGCAAAAAATGACAAATCTCCCTTGTTCTCCAGTTTCACTTTGGCCTTACCTGAGAGAAAATACCACATTGATCAGGAAACTTTACTTAACCATATGAAGCAATCAAAAACTATAAGTTAATAAACTATAATACCACACAAAAGATCCACCTAGCAGTTGATTACACTGGGGGGATAGGGGCAACTCCACTCTAATATGGCAACTTCAATCTTAACACAATAAGGCTGCAAAAATAATTTTAGATTTGCCTATTGGATCATCTGCTAGTGAGGCCCTGAATAAACTGAATTGGAAAACTCTCCCAAGACGTAGGGCCGGGCATAGGGCATCTTTTATTTATAAATGTTTAAATATTAAACTTATTTTCACATCGTTTTAATATTGAATTCAATAAGGATAAACATGATTATAATACTAGATGTAAAAACAATATCCGTAAGAGTGCATCTAATAGGAACTGGGGCCATTGGACCTCGACAAACTTTGCCTCAAACGATTGGAATAAATTAGACCTTTCAATCAGACAAAGCCCATCATTAGCTAGTTTTAAAAGAGTGTTAAGAAATGTAAATAGTTTTTAGTTTAATTTTTATATATTCATATATTAGTCTTTATTTTTCCTTTTTGTTCTTTTTTAATTTTTGAGGACTCTTTTGTAAATCACTTATAAGTGAAATTGATATCCTCAATAAAGATTATTATTATTACTATTATTATTATTATTATTATTATTATTATTAGTATTAGATTATTATATAATGTACAGTTAATTACATCACATCACAGATTATTTGAGAGTAATATTGAACAGTCAGGCAATAACTACTTCAACAGTAATTCCTTACAGGCAAAGGGTGATTTGTCCAGCCAGCGGAGGCATACGCATAAACAATTATTGCACAAGGGTACAGCAGATAGCTACTATTATCACCATGAGCCTGGGGGGTTGGGGGGGTACTTCCTGATAAGAGGCTAATGGGGATGTGCTGCTGGATGGGGTCACATTTTCACGACTGGATTGACTATAATGGGGTAGCATTTTCAACAGAGTTACTTGAATGGGGTCGCACATTTTCGGATTTGTTGGGGTAAGACAGTTCTTCATATAATTCGGCCAGCAAACGTACCAGAATGTTTGTCCTGTAGATGAAAAGTAAAGGGTTCTTCATTCAATTATCTAAAAAATGGGTCAATTCATAAAAATAGAAAGTGACTAAGTTGGGATCGCGAAAATAACATATTTGCCCAAAAGTGGTTAACATGTGGTCTATAATTGGCCACAGAATAGAATAGAATATAATGGGGTAGGGGCTCTGAGAGGCCAGCAGCACATACCCAGCAAAAACTAACCCAATTACCCCCCAGGACCATGAGCAACCCTGCATTTAAGAGAATGAGCTACAAAGATCCTTTTTGCAAGCAGTCATAGATTAATATAATTCAAGAAACCAATATCTTACTTCCAATGGCATTGTCTATAGCCTCTTGAGCCTTCTGGATTCCAAGTTTAAACTCCTCTTGATCTTGCCGCAACTTGTATCCACGGTGATAGTAAAGGAGAGCATACTCAAAGTCACCTTTTGAGTAAAGGGCTTCTGCTTTCTGGTAAAGACCCTATAAGTAGTTTGAGTCATAAAAAGTAATAATTACTTTTTATAATTATTATTAATAATTATTTATAATTATTAATAGTAATAACGTAATTACTTTTTATGACTTAGTCATTGCGATTAATCCTTTAAGCCCCAATTTTCATATACAAAAATATCACCCTAGATTGTCTTCCTTTAAGGGTAAAATGAGGCATTTTTTGTATATATGTTAGTCACGCAGTAGCTTGCACCACAGACAAAACTAAATGCTGGTTAAGTCTGTCTGCAAAACAGCGCCAAAATCCTTGTGCTAGGTCCCCACCTGTGTACCAGGATTTCAGTATGTGCCATGTTTGGCCTGTTAAAAAAAGCCATTATTGACTTGCCAATTATCAGCATGAAAGAAAATTTGAAAGACACTTCCAGTAATTATTTGTTGAGTCCTTTGGGGCACAGAACAAGGACCTCAGTGCTGCTTTGCAGACGATACCAACTGAGGTTAAATTAAGTCTGCCACGGAGGCTAATCATGCAGTGGAGGTAAAGAAATGTACCAAAAAGTGGGATACAAGAGCAAAGTTGTTGTTTTATATGCTTATTAAACCTACTGACATAATTTATTTACCGTTCCCAGGTTTAATGGTCCCTAATAGAGACTTTAAGATGCCATGACACAGACGGCAACGAGAACATAAAAAAAAATAGGTTTTATAAGCAAAACAACTATTTTGTACATGCATGATGCTTGTTTTTACATTTCTTTGCCCATTTTTGAATGACTACCACGTGAAAATGCCTAATTTCATACTTTATGGAGTACGTAAACAAGCAACAACGAAATTTTATTTCTCTTTCTGAACAAGAATGGATATGGTTCTTAGAAAGTCATCTCCAGGAGGGTTCAACTACATTGACAAAGAAAGCGGGCAGGGATAATCGTGATAAAGACTGAAAGAACATAAATTCACTTTTGAGTGACGTTCTTATTGCTGTCATGTCGTTGGATTATAAAGTCCCTACTTTTTCAAGGACATAGTTGACTAAAAAATGTACTGTAAGTGTGGTGGCACCGAAGAAACCCCAGTTAAACAGAATTTTACTATTAGTGTTTTGATAACAGCAACAAGAATGCTACTCGTGACATTATTTTAAAACCTTGTTATAGTCTTTGTCTTCTGCAAGTGATTCCTCTGCATCTCTTAATGCTGCATCTGGATCACCCAGCCGCAGGTAGCACTTTGATCGCTGAACAAGGCACACTTTGTATCCTGGCTGTAACTCTAGAGCCTGTGAACAAAAGCGAAAAAAATTCTCTCCTGAAGCGATTCAAACAAATCACATTATCCCAAAGTCATTGTCTGTGATTTATCCAGTGCTTAGAGCTATCCACTTTTGCACAACCTAGATATGTAAATCTGCAAGGATTTTCATGGTATCCGGACAATAATTCACCCCTCACACAATTAGCCACCGACAACTGGCCCCCATATTATGGACTTAAGTTCCACATTAAGTTTGTCATTTAGAATTTGTTTAAATAGATTCAAATTGCAAACTTAAATAGCTTTAGTTACATAAGAATTTGTTTTTCATGGGGCTGGAGTCTCTCGGACCACACGTCCCCGCATGTATGAAGTAATTCGAATCGCGAACTTCTTAAGCTTTAGTTACGATAAGAATTTCAAGGGGCGGGAGTCACTCACACAACTAGACATTTAGAAAGGGATTGAAGACCGTTCATTTATTAAACGAGCGATTCGAAGATATTTAACTCTGGTGATACTGTACACTGGGGGCTAGTTGTCGGGGGCAAATTGTCTGACATTCATTCTCACAAAGAAGTTCATTTGAGTTCAGTCCGTAGCAGCCGTTGATAATAATTCGTCTAAGTATAGAAAATGATGCTCATGATTTTATAACAAGACATACAGTGCACAACAGAGTTAGCCGATGAGGTAACAGAGCACCGGCAGATAAAAGAGGAAGCATATGTTGATAAATCTTGCAAACGGAGTTACTGTTAAGTGAGCTTCATAACTTGTTTTTCTATATCTACAATGCAGCTTATTATAAAAGCTTAAAATACCTGAGTGTAGCTATCAAGAGCTTTTTTATACTCTCCCTGGTTAAAATGAACATTTCCTTCCGAAAGATAAGTTGTAAATGAACTTTTTGGCCCTTCAGGCTCGTCATCGTCGTCATACATTTCGCTGAAAACGTTTTTTGTACTTTAGATCACTCTTTTTTCCAAAAGATGGAGAGAAGATTTGTAAATATGGCTCCTTTCATGTGGTTGTCAAGAGAAGTTGCTAAGTGGAACCCAGTACTTCTCTTTCAATGAAGAAACCGCTGTAAGTAAACGATGCCGTCTCGTCTAAATTACAGATTTTTCCCCACTTTTTTTTTCTCCTTTTTTTTTTCTCTTTAGGTACAATCGACAAGATTAAGAATAGAAAAAATATTCCTTCTTACCTTCTGCAAAGCAAAATACTGGAGGTTATAAAAATTTTAATTTCAGTTTGTGCAATGCACATTACTTCCTGTCAGGCGGCTCCTGTTCCTGTTTATTTTTTATTATTTCACTTTTATTTCAATTCTGTCTATCTTTAAAACCCTAAAAATAACACCCTATGCACACCAGCATAATTTTGCTATTTTAGTTGTTTCATTTTTAAGCTGGCAACGAAGATGTATTTCCGGCCAGAGAACCGGATGTGCGTTATTTCTGTTTTAGTTTATCTATTAAAAACGATCCGACGAAATTACGTATAATATTCTGGGTGTGTTCCATGGTACACCCGGGATACATTTGGCTGGAAAGTTACCTTTGCTCAGGGGATTTATCAAGAATGTGTTACGTTCCAGGCGATGGAAGAGTTCTATTAAATCGCGTGACATAAGCCGAAGAGGGGCGTAGACAGGAAGAAGGGGGTCTTTATACCCCCGGGCCCCCTCACACTTCTCTCGAGCGCATCTCGTGTGGCGCACTTTGTACTTAAAGCACCAAATGTTGCGTGCCAAGTCAAGATTCACTGCAACTACTTGAATATTTTCTCCCATTATCTTGCGAAAGTTTTAATACGTGAGTGTCAACTACTAACTAGAAACTTTAGTGTAAGACTCCTGTTACACTACATTAACTACACAAGTGCTATACGTCAGTTGACTAGGTCACTAAAATCCTGTTCGTTATGACAAATTACACGGTTGAGAGATGTTTTAAAAGTATTCCTATTTTACAGTCGTTTGGGGGTCACGGTACATTAGCGATAAAAGTGTTACCATTTTCTATCCCAATTCCCAGGTCAATCCGGAATTTTCCTTCCATATATGAACAATCCATGACGTAACGCTGGACGAAGACCAATCAAAATACGGAGGCTATCTGAGAGTCTGTTTGTTGTTCGCCTATATCCTTCCAGTCCATCCTTCTCAAAACTTTTATCTGGAAATAATCCTCTCAAATCACCTTTTGAGGACATGAGTACACCTGGAAGCTCTCTGGCTAAGTTTCCGAAGCAAAAACTTGCCGGATTTTAGTGATGTAGCAGACGGTTTCTCGGTGAGAAGGGATTTATCGTTGTCGCGAAGAGGGGACCTGTTCTCATTAGAAACATGGGCAACATCCAGTGTTGTGTGCTTCCTTCGCCACACGGCGGGCATTTGACCAAAAATGAGCCGTATGACAGGACAGGCCTTGCAAACGAATCCTTCGAACTACCTCACATTAGTGACCGAGAAGGTACCACCAATGTTTTTTCAAAGCTAATCGGCTTGCTCTGTACGTGATCCGAGTGACTGGTGCATGCTAACAGAAAGCGAATTGGATTAAACATATTGTTGGCTTACTTTCTCTATTTTCGCCACAGATCTTTCAAATCACAAGGGGACACTCTTCCTACACAGATCTCAATCTAATCCAGGTAAGATAAAGCAACAACACTAAGTTGGAAGATGTTATATTTTGGTAAGCTGCTCCATCACATTGTAGTCACATGTACTAGAAGACTTCTAAAGGCAGCTAGATCAGGCTTGGAGATCTATGAGCTTGCTTCTTTCATCTCCACGAACCGTTTACAGGTATTGGATCGAACGATGAAAAGGAAGCTTATTTCCTTAAGCGCTCCTTAACTTTTACGCAACATGACATAGGCAAGAATCATCCCACTTTGCTTTGTTGATCTGTTTTGGGTACAATATCGGCAACATTTTTATTTTAAGATCGCTGTAAGTACGGTAAATTTTATCATTTGCCTCGTTTCTTATCTAGTCCAAATCTTCATACTAATGGAACCGAATAACTTTACTTATAATTTCTGTTTTCCCTGATCTGATTGTAGACCAAGATTGGTCCATTTTGACCTTGAATTGATCCAGCTCCCAGTAATAAATTGACAATGTAATTTTAAACGGGGTATTAAATTCCATATTGAGTACTTTTGAAATTTTTAAATTTACCAATTAGAGAAGCCCTTGACTTGTACAAGGAGCTTAAAATGTTTATAAGATATTGTCTTTTTATTTCTTAAAATTGTGGCAAAAAAAACAAAAGGACACAACATTACAAGGTGAATAAACCTGTAACAAGAATATGTTACTTGTAACTTTTTGGTGCCATGTTCTAAACTTCTTGCCAGATTCTAAATAAGGCTTTTCTTTCATGTGTACATACAACAAATAGTTGCTTATATTGTTACATTATTCTATTTTTAAGGTAATTGAAATGAATCAACATTATCACAATATTACGGTCAGATTTGGTTTTTGCATGATTCTTATAATCGTAACAGAACTGAAGTCCAATTCAGTCTTTAACCGTACAAGCAGTTAAGCAGAATGAGACCAACCCTTAGCAGGAGTCTGTCTCTAAGAATATGACAACATGAAGTTCTGTTACAAACTACAGGCAGAGCTCGAAATAACGGCTCGTCAACAAACAATGTCTGGACTGATTGGGGAGTTGACCGCAGAACCTTTCATCTTGCCGGTCATGTTGACCATGCTGTTCAGTTGTTTCCGTTGTTATCAGTAATGTAGTGAGTCGCTGTGTACTGTGGAACTTTGATCTGAAATCTTGGGTGAAATGCAACTAGAACTGTTGTTTACAATTATTTTGCGGAATGAAACAGACATTGGGGTTCATGCACTTCCGGTTACAAATTTAAAAATATTTTCACCTTTATTAGATAAGCAAATAATTTTTAATTTTTGGAAATACATAATGCCAGGTTTGGTTCATGGACCCTTGTTTTAAGAGTTATTTATCTTATAAAATTGTCCAGCCAGAAACAATACATGACCAAGCTAAAATGAATTTGGCCATTGGGGCCAGAGACTCTCCGGAAAATATTTCGAGCCCCGTACAGGGTTCAAATAGTCTCACTGGTAGTCCGGCAAGTAAGCTTGCTCGTCCAATCAGTATGAGTCCAGGCTGGTCATCCGCCACCTGAATCATTGACTAAACTAGTAATAACAAAAGGTTACCGAGTGCTGGCGACAACAATCGAAGGTCAAAACGCTTTTGCTTCAACGTTTCACATGATAGATGGTCAAGATTACGAGTGATATAAGGTCCAAATGCGAGTGATCGAATGTCGTTCTGCGCATTCCATTCATTCTTAGTGGAAGTGCAAACGAATACTGGCTACATACATGCAATGCATGCTTAATAACAACCTGGAGATTAGGATTGTGGGCTCCTCTTGTCGCCCGCAATTAAGCTGGTGTTAACTAGTTACGGGTACACCAGGCAAGCCAAATGTGAGAGCTGCTTGCGCAATGGACGTAGTGGAATTTTTTTAGCCCTGCAACTTATAACAACTGGGAAAAAATTTGAGATAATAAAATAAAATTTAAAAGTTTAAACTTTAGGCTAATCTGAAAAGCCAGATCTCCTAAGAGGTTCTTGCTAGACATGAAAAAAAAAAGCAACAACCCATTCTAGTAGAACTGACCTATGAAAATGCCCTTGATGGCTTGTACAGTCCATTTACTGAAGCATGAAACATACTCTCCTATTCATTGTCCTATTAATTCTGAAATTGCTTCTGTCAATTAACTTATAATTCTACTAGAACTAACAGGTAAAAATAGGAACCCCAAGTGTTGATTATAATAACAGTTGCATGTGCAAAATTTTAACCAAATTTAATAGTAATGATTTCCCTCTATACTTAAGGAACCCAGCATGATTCATGTTTTCTTATGTCATAAATTTTTCTTTGATATGTTCTGTCATGTAATTGGAAGATAGTTCCAGTCTTCAGAGGTTATACATCGCTTTATTGCTACAGCTCGGTCTCATATAGCCTAAAGATGACCACACTCATCAGGCAGTTTTAGCGAGTGACCATTAATTTTACATGCTAACAATATATACTGCATTGCCAAATTACCATTGACTTTGAATTGGCGATGATACAAATGCTGCTACGTAGCGCATGCGGTTTCATTATGCTGCGTTACGTTTTTCTAAAATTTCTAAGAGTGAAACTATTTCTGTCAGGGCATGAACTTGCTAATTCGTTTCTTTTGTTCAGAGTACATAAGTGTTTTTTACAAATGATAAAAAATATTTCTTGGAGGCATGCACAGTTTACATTTTTAATGTTAATTTTAATGTTGTTGTTATTCTCAGTGTGTGAAATGGGCTGTTGTTTTATATATGCAAATTAATTAATTTTCTGATCAAATGGTGTCACCATAAACTGCTAAACTGCTGCTTATATGCCCCTTCCCAATTATCTGATCATACTGTAAGCCCCCCCCCCCCCCCCCGACATAACCTTTCTCTTAAATTCGATTAATTATGCCATATTGAAGCTTATGTAAAAACAAGTAAGTTCAAAATATACTTTGATCAGTTCTGCTGTAGCTTGTTTCAAAGCACTTTTTCTATTCTGGTTGTAAGCCCCTCTGTTTATGTAACACTCCTAAATCTAAAACAAACTTAAAACTATTTTTCATTCAAAGAATATTCCCTTTGATTTTTATTCTTAACATTTTTCTAGTATTTTAAAGTGTACAATATCTATAATATGTCACCTAGGCTAGAGATTTTTCTTATTTTCCTTCTTTTTCTTATACATGTAAAACGCATTGAGGAATGGAAATGTGCTCAATAAGAACGTATATATTATTATTATATTATTATTATCCCCCTATGAAGATGTATAATCCCAGAGTTTATGAGCAGCAGTTTACAGTATTCCCTAAAAGCATGATATTCAGAGCTGGTCTTGAACCGGTTTTAAACAAGATTTCTTGTCCTTCAGGTAACAATGGAACTTTTCCAGGAAGACGGACAATGTCCACTGGAAGTGAAAAGAGAAATGGTATTGAGGTAAGGACGATTTTATAAATGCTCTGTTAGCAAGATGGCTACAATTACTGTAAATTGCACCTGTCAGCAGTAACAGGTGTGTAACATTTTCTGTGTTTTTTTTTTTTCAGGGCACATTAACAAGAAAATTTAGTTCCTGTTCAACAATCTTCCTTGATGACAGTACAGTTAGTCAGCCTAATCTCAAGTCCACCATCAAATGGTATAGTAATGCTCTCACTGTTCAACATAGATTTCAACATTTTGTCCAGGAAATTCAAGAAAAACTACCTATGTTTTTGTCAGCTTCTGACATTTTACACTTAAAAATGAATACCAGTGTAGTTTAGTAGTAATGTTATTTTTATGATGCAATAGTTAGCATTTATTTTATTGTATTTTAGGGACACTGTCAAATGCCCAACTGTTCATGCAACATACCAAATTGCATTTCGGTAAACCTAACTTGTTTTAAGTTCAACTGTGCGGTCTGACATCAAAGTTAACTCAATTTTAGGTCAACGAGCATGTTTGATCCATTTGAAGTTGGCAGATACATTGTAGAACAAGTTTGTTAATCCAAACTCAGTCAGACAAACTTAGTGGTAACTGAGAGAGTGATTGAGTGTTTAAATGATGCCAAGCTTGTCTTATGCAGCTGATTTAGTGTGTGTTCTGTAAAGGAGCATGTTTCATGATCAGCGTGCAAAGAAAGTAGTGTCCGATAGCCCGGGGTTAGTGGGTTTTCTATCGGGCTAGTGAATTCTGTTTTTAACTTGCCCAACAAGTGATGTTTTTTGAGGAATTCGAATAACAGACGAACTGTGAAATCAATTCTGCTCATCAAACACCTTTTGGGGCTAGTTGAAATGATGTCTGGGCTAGTAAATGCTAGCTTCTGCTTGCCCGAATGGCAAGCTATAATTTAAATGATTTTCTTTGCACCCTGCTGATAAATTAGTGTTGTGGTTTTAAAAGACAATATTTATCTTTGTGACTTTGTTTTTCAGTGTGGCCTTAGCAATATATTATCATATAAAAAACAGGTGAGCAATATTATAAAAGACCAAAGGGGTGTGTGGATTAAGATCCTATAAGTAACTAATTCTCCTTTTGTTGTGCAAGCAAATACAAGGCAGTTTGGAAGGAGAACCTAGAAGTTGGTCAGAAGTCACTGTAGGCTTTTTTTGTGCACCCCCATTATTTTGAAGCTGAAGATCTGCATAGTGCTTAAAGAAATAATTTAAAAGTCAGACTATATTTTATTATGTATGACTGACAACTTTTCTGGTTTGTCCAACTCTCCTAATTATGGTGACTTGGTCAAACATGTAAACCTAAAATATGTCCTTTCTGAAAAGATAAATAATAACCTGTGGAGACAAACTAACCATTTCAAGGTTCATATGTGTCTGACTTCCTGTGTCCTGCTGGGATCAGCACAATATTTTAGTTGTTTTACCTTATTTTGATTGTGTCTTAAAAATTAGTAACAACTTTGTCAAAGTGAACAGTCAGAGTCAGTTTGATAGTATTTGATACTAATTTTCTTTTTTTTTTTTATTGCAGAGACCGAGATGTAAGGTCTCTTGACATATTTGATGAAAAGGCGCATCCACTCACGGTATGGAAAGTGCCATAACTCTAGTGTATCTGAAATAAACTTGCTGTTTTCTATCAAATGAATTATTAGTAATAAAGGCATCCAAATTGGTCAAGATACTTGACCTTCTAGGAAATTTCTCACATTAATTTTTTCCAACACTGTCTAATTCAAAAAAGGGAAATAAAACTTTCCCTCCTTTAACCCCTCTAAACAATGCTTTGCTACTGTTCAAGCTACCTGTTGGAAGCAATAAATAGCCTGCAACCAGGAATGAAGGTTTGGGGGAGTGGCTTGATCTGATTGTTTTGTTCTCCAAACAAGTTTCCCAACAATAAACACGTCTTAAAGGTAAATTGGTGGCCAATAACTTTTTCAGGACTGTCATGGAGATTTCTGCCAAGTATTAGGTGGAGAATTGAACAGCTAGGAAATTCTTGTGGTTATCTTTTTCTTTTGTTTGCAATGTAAATATCCAGGGACATGCTCATAGTAGCCAGGGGAAATCTCTCGTCCCCAGCCGTTAAAGACAGCTGCAGCTGGTTAGAAAGAATGAAAAGGCCAATGGTTTAATGTCAGGTCAATTTCCAATTAAATCCGAGTACCTCTGACAAAGAGCAAATGCTTCAATCATCAGCTGTTAAAACCAAACTAATAAATTCGTGGAATACCTCTCAGTTCATGCAGTTCATAGGTTTGTGGGCAAGTAAAAAGTAGGTACAGTAGTTTCCCACAAGAACCACATAAATGAAAGTTGTGTGAGAGAGCGCAGTGGTTTTTGTCTTTATTTGAGAAGACTAGAAGGTCTAACCATTTGCAGATGTCATTACAAAGGCACCACTTTCTAGTGATAAATTACTTTTTGTTTTCCTCTGCCCACCTCGATTGGCCAAGCCATTTGTAAGCAGAGGATTTTTGTGTGCACATATGTTTTAATTTAATTTAATTTAATTTCTAACTTATGAAGTTCAATAAACTTCAATAAACTTCAACTTCAACTTCAACTTCTTTTAAGTTATTTAAAGCCCCATACATGTAGTGATAGTCTGGCCGGGGTTTGAGCCCGCAACCTCCTGCTCAGCAGACTGGTGCTCTCTCAACTGAGCAAACGAGGTGGAGGTTGACAAGCACTTGTTTTCTTGTTCTTTTTAGCATGATCCTGTTCCAGATTATTATGACAGAGTTGATCCAGAACACAGACACATATATAAGTTTATAAAGACTCTCTTTCATGCCGCACAACTAACAGCAGAATGTGCAATAATTACACTGGTAAGACAATTTTAATAAACGTTTTAGGTTGTGGTGCTAATATACCGTAAACTGCTGCTTATAACCCCCCCAGTTATAAGCAGCCCCCACTTATAAGCCCATCTACTTATAAATAAAAAGGTTTCTTATGTATAACTGAAATGAAATTGATTTATTATAACATTTTGAAGCTCAAAAAAACAGAAAATACAAAAAGTATTTTGATCATCTCTCCCATAGCTTGTTTCAAAGAGCTTTCTGTATTCCTGTTAAAAGCTTCCTTAGATCTAAGCCCCTCTGGTTATAAGCCCTTCTAAAACCCCTTATGAAAATGTATGGGTTCATGGTTTACAGTAAGAGGATAAGCAGCATTTTTTGAAAGATTTTTTATTTTTATTTTTGGTACAACCTGTAGGTTTATCTTGAAAGACTTTTAACTTATGCAGAGATTGACGCATATCCTGGAAACTGGAAAAGAATTTTGCTTGGTGCCATTTTACTTTCCTCGAAAGTCTGGGATGATCAAGCTGGTAGGATGCTCTAGCTTCTTTTTTCTTGTCGGCGTTAAAGCAATCTTGTCTCCATGTGATTCTAGCCTTAGTGTGCTATGAAAGTTGTGACTGATAGCCCAGGGCAATTGGATTTTGTCATTGGGCTAGTGAATTCTAGTACTTTAAGACAAATTTAAAATTTCCAACAAATTTGCATGGATCGAAAGCCCTTTTTCAAGCTCATCAAACAAAAAAATCTGTAAAAAGTATTCATTTGAAATTTGATTACATCACTGGCAAACCAGGAAGTGGCTGCTGCCACCCTTAACTGTTTAGCCAGTTAATTTCTGAGTAACACCTCTACACTTGATGTAAACCTTCTTAAAAGGATACATGCTTATCAGTCATTTCCTTGACTCCCTGTATTGGACGCCTTTCTAAGGTGGCCTTCTAATGCCATGCCCATCCTTGTGCGTCTTACCACTTTACTAATAATTTATTTGAATTCGAGAACATGGGAAGCATTTACTCAATCGTCCAAGCAAGAATCGCATGTCAGAGACACTCAACATACTTAAAAAACTAACAAAGCAATTTATTATCATATTGAAAAGTAAGAAAGTATATTATCCTAAAAATGGAAAAGTTTTATAAGTTAGAGTTAATTTTTTATAGCCTTTAAATTCTGTTAATCTACGGTGTTTAACTGAGTTTTCTGGATTGTTCCAGTAATGCAAAACAATGTATGAAAACAAATTATGCAAATCGTACCTATCCTTGTGCGCCGTGGAAAGAGATTACTGTTTATTGTGCCGCGGTGAAGGAATATGTTAATTTTTCCCGGTTTTCAAACCTGCTTATTTTCATTCAACAGTATGGAATGTAGACTATTGCCAAATTTTAAAAGACATAACAGTGGAAGACATGTAAGTTATTTATTGTCATTTTTGTAGTTTTTGTTCTAGCTTGAGTACGCTTAATGGGGCAAAACAAGAAAAAAAAATGCTTTGAAAACCCGCATTGCGTACTTTAGGTTTGCATTGCCAGTGGGGCACTTATACCTTTTTTATCCTAGTATTAGAGAAGTGGCTTTGCCTTACAAAATTATTGTTTTTTAGTGGGAAAGGGGGTACATACATGTAAAGACACCACCAGTTAGGAAGAGGGGGGGAAGGGACAAGCAGTTACTGGCGTCCTATGAGCTCCCTCCCACCCCACCCCTTATAATGGCCGAATTTATACTAGAGACGAATTATCCGTCTAGACGGATTATCCGTCTCAGACGGCTAAGTGTCAAGTATAAATTCGGTGCTAACACGAATTATGGAGCAAAATTTCGTTTCAGGCTGATTCGTCTGTTTTACTTCTTGGAGACGTGCTAACAGGCGGATAATTCGTCTTAGACGAATTGTCCGTCTCTAAATTTACATCTAGACGGAACGGAGACGGTTTTTTATGAAGTTTCCACATGAGAGGGACTGTTTCTATATTTTCGCAACTCGGCTCCTCAACACCGAACCACCCGTCGTGTAACCCGCGTAAAATATCTAGACGAATTATGGAGCAAAATTCGTCTTCGGATCTATACTTAGACGAATTATCCGTCTGACGGATAATCCGTCTATACGGATAATTCATCTCTAGTATAAATTCGGCCAATACTGTACAACACAAATGATTAACTAACTTGCATTTCTCTTCACAGGAATGAACTGGAAAGAGCATTTTTAGAATTATTACAGTTTAATATCAATGTACCATCAAGTGTTTATGCAAAGTATTATTTCGACTTGCGCTCACTCGCTGACGCCAATGATTTAGTTTTTCCCCTTGAGCCTCTAAGCAAGGAAAGAGCCAGAAAACTTGAGGTAAGCTTTCTCAGTCTTATAAGTTCCTCCTGACTTTGACTTCGAAGATCCCATTTTCCTTGTCACTTTCAACAAAGTATCTACGAACTTATTTTAAACTCATAGCGGAGCTCCCGCGCGCGAAGCGCGCGTGACGGAGCCCCATTGCTAAGATTAATATTGGTAACCTATGAAAGCAAGAAAATTTGGTTATGACGTAGCGTACGAACGCCGACCGTCCGCACACCCACTTCATGTAAGCCGATGCCAAATGTCAGGTTATTTTGGCGGGAAAGCGTATGGCCGCCGCGTCTTGTGAAGCAGAGACAAGTAAAGAGTCAATAAAGACGAAAACGGAAAGCGGAAATTGTTTCTGTATCCTGTTGTCTAAAGTATTAAGTTTCGATTAATTGTCATGTCCACAAATTTGGAAAATCGAGGAAGAGAAAGACAGAGAAAAGAGAAAGTAAGGCGACAGGCCAGCGAAGCTCAACGAGAAAAAGAGCTAGAGAGAGATACACAAAACAAAGGAGACGTTTTTTGTGGGAGGAACAACATGAAATTTTGTAGCGGCGGTGAGAAAATGAAAAATGCTAGCGGCCACCTAGGTGAAAATGAGCGACAGTGGAAAAAAAGTGAACAAGAACACGTACGACATTTCCTCCATAAAACATGTAACCAGAAAGCTTCTGGAAGTTTCACGTTGTAGTCGTGCAAAACAACGGCAAAGAAATGTACAAAGAAAGTGTGCTGCACGTGCAAAGTTGCTTTTTTGCTAATTAGACCTGTTTTTATTTTTCACCGTTTTCGTTGCTTTCGCCGCTTACCATTACACGATTTTACATTTTGTCACTTGAGCAAACTATAGATATTATCGGGAGCTTCGCTTTTATCCGTGGCTAAATCTATATATTATAACTCATAACTCTCTATAACTCATTTTAAAGCCAACATTGTTGAGACCTGGGCTTGGTGTCCTCATTAGCGAGAGTTCGTGATAGCGGGAGTTTATTTCGATCAAACATCTGTAATTTATTTTCGCCTGGGATTTAGCTGCTGTCCATGTTATCGGGGTGTCCGTTATAGCGGGGTGTCCCCAAGGCGAGAGTTGACAGTATATAACTTTAGCACAGTTTTTATTAAAAAGAATGCAAACCTTTATTTATGACACCCCTTCTGTAGGCCGAAAAGAACAATGTTAATTGAAATAAGCGCCGCTCTCGTACAAGCGCCGCACCTATAACGTGGAAAATAAAAAGCACCGCGGCGCTTAAAGGCCTGTTTTCAGTAGCGGCAAAGTCGGAGTCGTAATCAGAAGCGTAGAGCTTATGATCTAGTGAAAACAGCGTTCCGATTCCGCTTACGACTCCGTCGCTTACGTTCCGCTTATGATCTAGTGAAAACCAGATTGTCGCAGTCGGAAGCAGAAGGAGAAGAACCAAACCAATCTCAAAGCGTGGGAACGTGCATTGTGATTGGTTTATCCTTCCGCTTCTGCTTCCGACTCCGACAATCTGGTTTTCACTAGATCATAAGCGGAACGTAAGCGACGGAGTCGTAAGCGGAGTTGGAAGGAAATGGAAACGTTCTGATTCTTCTGACTCCGATTCCGTCGCGCTTATGACTCCGCTTACGACTCCGATTATTGATTTTCACTCGGTCATAAGCGCTCTTACGACTCCGCTTACGGCTCCGATTGTTGATTTTCACTAGGTCATAAGCGCTCTTACAACTCCGCTTACGACTCCGATTATTGATTTTCACTAAGTCATAAGCGCTCTTACAACTCCGCTTACGACTCCGATTATTGATTCTCACTAGGTCATAAGCGCTCTTACGACTCCAACTCCGGCTCCGTCGCTAGTGAAAACCAGCCTTAATCGATCATTTACGGTAGTTCATTTTTTTCTTTTTGCAGGCGCTTTCAGTTACCGATGATGACCGTTTTCGAGATTTAAATCCCTCCAACTTGTACCGCTCTAAGAGCGCGGATGCAGTTACACCTACTCGAAAAAACATGGCTATCATCTCGTGACGGATAGTAGGGTGAAATTCGCACAGATTGTAGATTGATCAAAAGGAGATCATGTCGAGACTGATGACTTGTACAAAGTTTCCTTTCGGAACGTGAAAGGGCACAGAAAGGACTAGCAGACGACGCTGGCGTGACTACCAGGGTGAGTTGCGTGACAAGCCCTAAAGACGACGTTCTTGTAACAAAGATAGTGCAAGAAATTAGAAGCGGAAGAATGCTGGATGTAAAACAAGTTATGGCTGGAATGACCAGTCTCCTAAACAAGGGAACAAGGCATGTAGAAAAGCCATGGAACATAGTAAGTTTCGTTTAGAAAAACTCAAGAACAATAAGCTCACTGAAAAACGCAACACACTGCTGGCGTGACAAGGTGGTAATCAATTTTTGGCAATGCCCTCTTCACGAAAGCTTCGATGACATCTTTATTGCCACACGATAACATCAATCTGATCGTAGACAGCACTTCCAAAAAACAGTGCACTTTATTCGCTGTTTTAGATTTTAGTCGTTGGAGAAGTCAATCTCTTTCTTCTCTAAAAGGTGATCTGAGAGTTAAAAAGGCTATTCTGTAAAAAGAACAACTTTAATATTGAGAGTCGCGCGAGGAAAATAATAGCCGCGCTGCCTTCACTCGCGTCATTAGACTCGATTTCCGCGCTTCTGTTAACCTGGGCTTGTGTCTAAGACGCAGGCGCCGGTTTTTTTTAAAGCGAAGGTAAAAATTTCGAGGACCCACGCGCGCACGAGGGGAGAAAAGGAGAGGAGGCCACCCTCCATTGCGTGTTCCCCTCGCGCGTTCTATAAATACTAGCTGATGCCTGTTACGCAGGCTATTTTTCTAGAGGGTCCCAGACAGGTTTTTGGGGATTCGGGATTTGCCTCGTTTGAAGGCCGCGATTCCTTGCCGGAAATAACTATTGGGATTACTAGATGAGGGAAAATTTGGGTCGGGATGACAGGTAACCCTTGAAGTCCCAATTATGACCGACATCAATTTTCTCCTAACAATATCCATACATTGTCAAGAAATAAGGTTATGAGAATTAACAATTGATCACTCAAGAGAAAATGCCTTGATCTTTTCTTAAATTCTCTCAACTAATTCTTTAAGGAAGTGTATGGAGATCAGTTTGGAGAATTTGTATGTTTATATTGGGCCTTAAAGGGTTAATAAACCCTATTGGGGATACTCTTTCTATTGGTAGCTACGTCTTCTAAACCGCCGTCATAGGGTCGTCGCGTTACGCTCCGCTTTCGACAGTGTTCGCAGGGTCATGGAATAAATTGAAAATTCATGGAATGTCAGGAAAGTAAGTCAGAGATTTCCTTGAAACTGTAACAAATATATTAAAATGCTGAAGACAGCTACTCAACCGAAGGTTGTGGAAAACTGAAAAAGGTCATTCATGGAAAGTTATGAAATTTGAAAAGCTGAAGAAAGAACGATTTCTGCACGACCCAAATAACGGCCGTGAGCGATCAAAGCCTGCAAAATTTTATGCTTCTTTAAAGGCAAAGGTTATGATAGAAAGAGTATGCCCTTCTGCGCAGAAGCGCGGCCTTATCCTTCTGAACATCGCAATAATCAAGTATAACCATTTACGATAAGATTCTTATCGATACATAAGCGAGTAAAAACTAGTGAGAAACGCTAGTGTCCCCAAGCTCGTAACATGACGGTGAACACTGTTGCGAAACGTTCGAAATGTTAGGATTTGCATGGGGGAGCAATAACTTTTTCCCTAAGTCGATTTATAAATATTTAGGCTGCAATCTTTCTCGCCATACACATTATTGAAAGGTTACCTAACAGTTACCATCGCTCATATCCGGAGCTTGGGTTACCTGTGGAAAAAAACTGGTGTTCCGGTGTCATCGATAACCTATTGGTAGATTCATTTCCAAGTTCCCTTTTCAACGATGTGTTGATGACACCGAAACGTCGATTTATCTCGCCAGGTTTTACTTTTTTACGTTAAGATTGCATTACTAATTTTTTAATTCGCAGTGTCATACTCAAACAGTTTTCTCTATTCTTCCTTAACATTCGTAGAGTTTCGAAATATTCCTCTATCGTTAACGCAAGGCTCCAGGGAGGCGAAACGTGCGAACATCGAAAATACGCCGCTCTCATTTTGCTATTCCTTTAAGCTCAGCCGAGTTGCTGATTTCTACCTCTCTTTTCTATTCATTTTACCGTACGATATTTTCTCAATTAAACTCTGGGTGTAAGAGAGGAGGTTGTAAAAAAACACTCACCGACATATATTTATGAACGTCTAGAATGTATGATGGAGTCTTGCAATTTGGTTCTAACTTTTGAGTCTGTGGACTTAATCGTTAAGTGTGACCATTCAAATGAAAGCTACTGAGCAGTACTTTCCTGTGGTATTGTTTATTATGCTGTACGAGGTGGTTCTAACTTTTGAGTGTTTGGACGAAATCCCATGGTGTGACCATTCAAATGAAACCTCTTTGTCAGCACTTTCACGTGGTGCTATTTCTTTTTCAGCATTTTACAAAATGAAGTTTGGAAATGTGTCAAATTTTGGCTTCGCGATCTCGCGGAAGTATAGAGTAAAATACATGGCTACCAAAGGGACCCAAATACGCTTCAGAATCAAACAAACGTCGAGTCTCCCGAGCCGGGAACGTTTAATCGAGAAAATATGGAAATAATCAATCACATCTGTTGTTTTTAGAACAAATGATCAGAAGTATCGTGCTATCGCTTACAGTTTTAATTTAAAGCCAAATCATTCCCAGTGTCGTTTTTCATGTGTTGTAAATAAGCACGAATATGCTTTTTTCAAAGAAATAAATTTATTGAAACCCCATATGCTTAGAAGTCGGTGTCATCGACTAATTGGTGGGGGGGTCGGGGTGCGATTTCTGTGGGGTAGGGAGTTAAGATTTCCTTTGAAACAGCCTTTCCTTCATCATCAGTCAAGGTGCATAGAGCATCTTGAGAATAAAAGTTTTTTTGCAACCGTTCCCTTACAGCCTCGTCCCCAGGCCGATTCGCGCTAGCGGAGTTAGTGGAGGAGCCTTGAAACCGAGCGCGAGGCCATTTCCGGGTTCCAAAAACTCTCACTTTCAAAACCAGGCTTAGTGCAAAACCTTTGTATTGAAAATGAGTTTTCTTTGCATAGGAGTCAAAAATCATTTTCCGGTTTTGCACTTAGCCTCGATTTGAAACAGAGGCTTGAGGTAACTCGGAAATAGCGTATTCTCTCCACAAACTGGACAGGTGACGTCACATCCGAACGTCTGAGGACGAATCTGGTTCTTTGTAGTTCTTCAATCTCACGTTCTCTTTGTGTTCCTTATACATTTTAATCTGCGTGCGGATGGGCAATCCCGTAAAACTCTACCAGGAAATCCTCAAGAACAGAGCGGAAATCCCCATTAAATCTTAAGTTTCTTTAAGCAATCATACCCTCCAGGCGTATGGTTGACTTAATGCAAGGAGACAATTCAGCTTTCGGTGGAAAGGAGAAAGGTCCCCGAAACAGACGATCATTAATTAGAGGAAGAAAAATGCGGGGGCCTGGCAAACCACTATTGCTCACTACCTAGTGTAAAACATGGGAAAACTGTGTAAAGCTGGTATGCCTCGCTTGGTGCGAAAATACAGCAATATTATAGCAAATAATGACAGCAAGAAGATAGCGGAGCACACAAGAGCTTGGTTCCGAAGTACTTCAGAAGGTAATGAGCCCCACGGGTGTAATCGAACCACTGTGAGTAGGAGAGAGCCCTGGAAACGAAGTTACTTTCACGGACCATTCAGAATTTTTAACGGTGATAAATGAACCCTGGCAAGCATTGAATATTCTTTGACTTCATGCGAAAGCGTTGTCAATTAATAAATGTAGATGAATCCTTGATGAAAATAGACCTAAACAAAAACGCCACACACTTAGACTCCCATACAGAATTTCTAATATATAGTCACCTTTCTCAAGTAGATTAAGGCCTGGTTCTAAGTCATTTGTGATTTTTTTGTACATTTTCCAAATACCATTGTTGAAGACATTCAAGAGGTATGATAGATAGTGAAGTAAACTAAACTTTAAAAACAAAAACTTGAAAAAAAATCCAACTTATCTGGTCACATAATCGATCAGGCCTTCTATTGTTCGAAACTTGCAACCAACGATGTCCACGGTATCAAAACATTGACCCTACAAAGTGTCTACGAAATCAGCTCGGAATGGTTGGCCCCTTCTCGTGCGTTATTATTATTGTCATTATCATTATTTTTCTTGTTGTTGTCATCGATGTTGTAACAGTCGCGCCCAATTCACACTGGAGGGAGATGGACTCCGATCTTGACAAAATTGGGTGGGCGGGACCAAATTCCTCATTCGTCGACCAACAAACATCAGAAGTCTGGGGACCAGTAAACTCTGAGAAAAGAAATTAACCACTGTCTCAGCAAAGTTACCGTCGGATGTTATTAGGGAGTTTTAAATATGATGATCTTTTAAACGCGACCTTTTTTGCAACATATATGTACCGTTATCTACCCTGCCGCGCCCGCACGAAAGGGAGAGGAGGCCCCCTCTCCTTTTCTCCCCTCGCGAGTCCTTGAGAATTCTTCCTTCGCCCCCCAAAAAAGCGGAGCCTGCTAGGCAGGCTAACTGTTATCTGGAGGATTTAGCACGGTTTGACGGACAAAACTCGCCAAACACCGACAGAAGACCACAGAACGCAGCGGAATTCTTCCTCAGACCCTGTCGACCGTCTCCTATGTCCGAGGAAGACTGGATAAAAACACGCTGAGTCATCACTTTATCATTGCCGACTCTTGCAAATCTCAGAAATCTATAAATTGCTGAAGGTAAGGAGAGCTTCTCAGTACATTATATACATATCTTAGAGTGATTTACGTGTTAGCATTAATCGTCACAAGAAAAGAGCCAAGATTTTAAGCCTGTACTGATGTACGAGTTCGCCTCGCTTGGCTCATAAAGCGCCTCTTATGCAGGCGAGTACTGATGAACACATGTTTATTGCGTGCTTTTAATTGTTGCTCAGAAATCCCATGAGTATATCGGATTGAGCTGATTATATTTGCCTTCGTAACAAACGTTTCCGCGCGAATTTGTTGAACAAAAGCGTTCCACCTTCAACGAACTCGCGTTGAAACGCTTGTTGCGCCGACTATTGCGGACAGACAGACTTAAGTTGTAGTAGGTTCCCAGAGATTTTTGAGAGTTAAAACTTACAGTTTAGTGGAGATATATCGTTGTTTTAGTTAGGCAGTGTTGCAGAGACGACGGGGTGGGGGTGGTTAGGATTTTGCAAATCGGGAGATCTAAAATCTGGAAATTGTCTCGTAAAGTAATTTGCAACATCAACCACCCCACCCTGCATAACTGCAAATCAACCCATGGCTGTGGCTCAGGACATTATACAAAGTCTTACATAAAGTATATACTGGTTCTGAACACTGGTGTGTTTTCATTCAAAATCACGGTATCAATAGTTTTGCAAGACAAGGTTTGAAAAATGTCAGCTTCAATGGTACAACGGTAAATAATTACGTGTAACAAATGTTTGTATTGTTGCAAGTACATTTGGGAGTTTGTCCATATCTTGGGAAAGTGCCCCTTTGTTTACCTCACTGGATTACATTGTTTAACTTAATTTATTTTATGATGAAAAGGATTGATAAAGGAAGCAGCATGTCAACACATGAACGAGTTCACACTGGGAAAAAACCCTATGAATGTAAGCAATGTGGCAAGAGTTTTAGTCAATCAGGAAACCTAAAGTCACATCAGAGAGTCCACACGGGAGAGAAGCCTTTTGAATGTACATGGTGTGGCAAGTGTTTTAGCAGAGCAGGGCACCAGAAAAGACATGAAAGAGTTCATACTGGAGAGAGGCCTTATGAATGTAAACATTGTGGCAAGTGTTTTAAAGATACGGGAAATTTGAGGGTGCATGAAAGAGTTCATACTGGAGAGAGGCCTTATGAATGTAAACAGTGTGGCAAGTGTTTCAGCCAAGCAGCAAATATGAGGGTGCATGAAAGAGTTCATACTGGAGAGAGGCTATATGAATGTAAACAGTGTGGCAAGCACTTTAAACAGACAGGATCTTTGAGGGCGCATGAAAGAGTTCATACTGGAGAGAGGCCTTTTGAATGTAAATATTGTGGTAAGTGTTTTCAACGAACAGGAAATTTGAGGATGCATGAAAGAGTTCATACTGGAGAGAGGCCTTATGAATGTAAACAGTGTGGCAAGTGTTTTCAACATACAGGAAGTTTGAAGGTGCATCAAAGAGTTCATACTGGAGAGAGACCTTATGAATGTAAACAGTGTGGCAAGTGTTTCAGCCAAGCAGCAAATATGAGGGTGCATGAAAGAGTTCATACTGGAGAGAGGCTATATGAATGTAAACAGTGTGGCAAGCACTTTAAACAGACAGGAACTTTGAGGGCGCATGAAAGAGTTCATACTGGAGAGAGGCCTTTTGAATGTAAACATTGTGGTAAGTGTTTTCAACGAACAGGAAATTTGAGGATGCATGAAAGAGTTCATACTGGAGAGAGGCCTTATGAATGTAAACAGTGTGGCAAGTGTTTTCAACATACAGGAAGTTTGAAGGTGCATGAAAGAGTTCATACTGGAGAGAGGCCTTATGAATGTAAACAGTGTGGCAAGTGTTTCAGCCAAGCAGCAAATATGAGGGTGCATGAAAGAGTTCATACTGGCGAGAGGCTATATGAATGTAAACAGTGTGGCAAGTGTTTTAGCAGCGCCGATAACCTTAGGAGACACGAAAAAGTCCACACTAAAGCAAGGAGGGGTACACGTCACGGTAACAGACGTGCGTCTAAACGTTTGCTTCGTCAGCGCAATAGCAGAGGATTTAAGAGAACTGATATCAGTTCAGGAGTTACAAACAACCAACTGACTCAAAGAGACTCTAGAAACAGAAGACGTGTAGTAAACTTCCAATCAGCTACCGTTGAGACACACAGCTGTTGGATTTGTCAAGAGGAGATGAGTGGTGGAGTTCTTCTTCTTCAACATTATCAAAATCATATGAGACATGTAAATGAAGATGAGTTGTAAAATCAGATGGTTCTCGTTCTTGTTTTCGTAAGTTTCGTTTCTAATCTGTATTAGGTTTGAGAGGCTTGTATTTTCAGTGGGTTGTTTTATCTCCATGAAAAGTTCGAATTGTGATTTTCTTACGTGATTTGAATTTAGTTAGCAGACGTTCCTTTGTTGTGGGCGGGAAGAAAAATTCTTTTGCAATCCCGTTATGTTCTTTTCGCGATGGATAATTCAACCAACTTTTTGAAAGAGAAAACATTTGTGAACTAGTTTGATGAGATGAGCTCGTTGAATATCTGTATAGAATATAACAATACAGCAAGAAAACGGCAAGAGTATTTTTTAAAAAGTTTTTATCAGTTAGAGTGACATGGAAGAAAACCTTATGTTTGCCTCGTTTACTTGACAACCCATCCGCATAAATTTTCACATTGTTCCGGATTTGAAGGCCAAAAAGAAAGGTACCGGCTTTGTCTCGAGACGATAGTTTAAGCAGAAAGCTAAAAAACACACACACGCAAAAGTATTTTGAGAGCAATACGATCTGAGCATTCGTGATTGCAGTTTATTTTGTGTTTTGTTTAAGCCTCGTGTTGAGTACTATTGCAACCCTAGTGGTTCAGAAAATATACGTATCGAGAGC